GATTTTATTATGCGAATGACGTCAATCTACGTGAAAAAAATCAAAAACTAAACTGACTACAACTCATATGACACCCACTTTTATAGCGTTCATTTCTATCCGAATGCCCAGGTATGTGACAAGTATTGTTGATTATGCTAAAGTTTTTGGACATGTCACAGGGTTCAATGTGACATTTGATAAAAGAATTTCAAAATGCAACTATATTTCTCTTTGCTGAAATCGCATTTATGACAATGCTAATTTTTTTACGGAAATTTATTATCTTTTTCTATAAGCTTTTTTCAGTAATCCTTCGTTCATATTTACTACGCAGTTTTATATAATTACGTTACTATTAAGGAAAATATGTCTCAAATGAAAATATCTCACATAAATCTTGCACCATATTTCTCAAACACTACTAACCTTGAGTACTACATTTGTACATAAGTACTTACATAAATATTTTTATTTTGCATAGATTAACAAATCATAAGTACACACGGAATTATAATAATTACTAGTCTCCAGCCACCATAAAAAGATTTCATGTAACGATAACTCTATATTGACAATGGTCAATGAGAACTCGTACCTCTATTTCAGTCAGAAGACTGCTACCTGAAGCCCATTAAAAAATGATTCAAATGCTCATCAGTCAATAAGAAATTCCTGACCTTTCCTTACATCACAATTCAATTTGCTAGCAATAAAAGTGAAAGAAGAGTAGTTGCATATATTTTTTTATGACACCTCTTATACAAACATAGAACTTGCTAAAAATGCATTCAAGCTATAATAAGGATAAATCTCCCTTAAAACTAATTATTTTAGTTAATTTCCTTCCTAATAGCCACAGACACGTCACTAAAGACCGTGTAATAATTGAATACGACGGTAATTAGTGTGGGATTTTTAGGAAAAGTTTATCGCTTTTCCATCAAGATTGCACTCTGTACTTGTACACATTTTCTTGTCTCAGACTGTAATTAAGTAATATAAATAATACCAGGATGAGTTCAGCTTCAGCACTTCTCCTATACAAACAGATAAATGAGCTGATATAACAGAATAATATACATACTGCGTGGTCGTCGGGTGTTCAGGTCAGTCCAAACCTTAACCTTTCCTAACCTTTATTGAATAAGCAGCCAACAGCAATTCCATTCCAGCTCTTGAAAGAAGAAAAGCGAGAGAGACAGACTTTTAACAAGACGGCGGATTAAATGCATACATAAATTTTATCAAAGCCTTCTCATCCATAAAAGTTGCAAAACGAGAAAGGAAGAAAAATATGTATGTATGTATAGTTGCCATTTTAAGATCGCATCCTCTTCTTCAGCCAGCTCAACATTTTTCTAGTTATTGCCTCGCAAATCAGCATACTTTTATTAGAGAGTCGCTTACTTATACCCTGTTAAAAAATGTTTTTGAGTGGAGGAGGTATTCATCTAAAAGAAGTTTTTTTTCCTCTGTAAAGTTGAGAGTTTCATGACTTTTTAATCAAATTCACATCAATATCGCATGTCACGGCTTGCAGCAGTATGCCCTTCATCATTCATGCAGTTACAACTTTGGACCGAGAGCACTTTTAGGAATGAATTGATCTTTTGTCCTCTCATACACAATCTGTCCTGTCAGATCAGATGTAAAATTTTTCGAATGAATATTTTTGCACAGTTTCATTTTTTTTTTAAAGAATTTGACATTTCATCATGAATAATTTTAAGATGGTAATAACTATTTTCAAGTATTTGAAAAGTGTACATGTAATATTTTACGAGCGAACAAGAGACAAATTAAATAAGCCTGATTCAGATTGCAACATCTATAAAATCCCAACCACACCATCTCGGATTATGTTGATTATGAACTTTTGGCTGGAATTATCCAAACAGGTTTGACTTTGAGGAGGTCAGGTTATCTGTCTCCACAATTTTTGCGATTATGCAGTCATACCGAAACAGACTTATAGATACGGATGGACGGATAAGAAAAGCTATAACTTTTGCATGCACAATAATATGAAAAAGTTGGCCTTGGTTAAGAAATCCATTCCATTTTCTCCTTACTATCAGCATGGACTAACTTGATGCTATAATAACGAGTGTGTGCAATGTAATATGAGACCTGTCGTATCCAGTCAATCAATGGTGGTTGGTTGGTTATGGGGTGCAATAATGTTGAGATGGTCGGGGTTCGCGATCTTAATTCACAACTTTAACAACTCCCAACCACCTTTTTCAATTCGATTTTATTATTGCCAACTCCAATACGAATATCAACCAACCACAGGTCGAATGCAAATTTTATTACTTACACAACCCAGAAAAATCCTTTGGTAATGCAAACAAGTCTAGATAACCCGCGACGCTGCACATTTTTCGTTGCAAGTCTGAAAATTTTGCAAACTTAATCAAATTTGAGATGCCATGCAATCCAATGGAATGCAATAAGCTGTTGAATGGATTATGTACATAAATGAATTGTACTTATATGACTGCATAAGGAAAAAAACGATGAAAAATCATTTATTTGCATATTCAGTCGTATCATTCTCCAAAAGTGAAGCTGAAAAAAGTAATTATGATTTTTTTTGCAATGTGTGTATGAATGTGATGCCATGCCATCCTCAACAAGCCAAAGTACACATGAAGGTCACACAATAATCATATTATCAGTCTTCTTTTGTTAGTTGTGATCAGGAAAAAATTTGCGAGTGAATGTAATGGAAATGTGGCTCTATTTTATTTGACGTTTTATATAATTCGCGTGTGTCCACATGTAAAAAACGAAGCCTGCATGGGGCTTATGTAACTTATATAACGATCAATGTAATTGTGTGGTGTGGTAGGTAATGGTTTTTGAATGGCGTGTTTAATACAAAAGCACGTATGGTGTGTCGTGTTATGTATGAAATATGTAAGTATACCGTAGAATTGGTTATGTACATCTACACACATTGAGCCCTGATATTTGAGGTATTTGAGATCATTTTCACGGTTTTATGATGATGATGATTATGATGATTATTACGATTGCGATATTATACGGCATTGAATTCGTACTCTTTTCTCCAGATAATGAATACAGGTACATTTTTTTGCATGTCGTTTTATATATTGTGGAACCGCAACATGGATAAATTATTGCTAAATGAAGTGTATCATTCCACTGGATGATGTACTTATGTGTGTATTACTACACATATCATATGTACGTCGTGTATGTATATCATTAGGACGATAAGGTACTTTTGTATTTGAGTTGTAAAACTGGTCGAGTTAAAAAAAATTGAGATATCATCGTCTATCTGGATTGCTACAATATGCGAATATATAATAATTGCCAACTTTTGCGATAACATTATTATATATACGTACACCAAGGTTTCATAAGTTCCAATCTAGCCGAGATGCAAGGTCAGTTCCATCGCTTTACTGAGAAATCTCACATTTTTTATCATGACTGCATAAGGAAAAATGGTTCACCGTGAAGAACTTGGGCAATAATGTGCACAAGAAGTACGAAGTTGTTTTGCTCAACAGACAGGACAGAGAACAGACAGAAAAATAAAAGTTAGTAGTAGTTTTTGGACCCGAAGCTGGCTGCATCAAATGGTCACATCGTAGAAAGAAGTAGCTAAATGTACCTTTAACCTTTGTCTTAATACACAACTTACTTTGGCGAGTTTAATTTACTAATGAATTAAACACATATTTGTCTTCCTTATCAAAAACTTATTCAGACAGACGGAGAGATAAATAAAGCTCGTAAAAATTGGGATTTTCCATCTCCTTGAAATTTTCAGACAATAAAATTTGTAATCTCTCTCTCGCTGCCATTTTCTAATCCGTCAATAAAATATGTGTATGTAACATGTTACATTTCTTATATAAGGTATGCATAACTTTTTCCCCATCCGTAAAACAATGACGCTTATATAATGATGCTAACCTACCTGCGTCACTTAAAAAACTTACCAACTCAACAAAGCCATACATACATATTTCACCTAAACTCCATCCACTCCACTCTGTTCGACCCTCACATGCAACTCGTGATAGCAACTTGTCATCCAATCCCGAACAGTGTATGGATATGAATAATAACTGATAAATAATAAAACTGCAGAAAAAATAGCATCAATTTCAGGCAGTCTATGGCTGTGGATGTTATCACGTTTTTCGCCTACGTGACTCCCGTATTACATTACATATGAATGTTCGTTAGTTAGGATAAGATAGAGAAGAACGAACGCTGATCATGGGATGGCATGGTGGCTGGAAGAGTTGTTTTGCTTAATGGTGAGGAGTCAAGTTTGTTAAAAGTAAGTTAAAGTTGAATCGACTTTTCAAGTCCAGTCCAGTCGTTTCAACGCCCTCGACCACGCTGCTGCACACTGCATTCGCTCCTCTCGAGCCGTCATAACAGAAAACGTAGCATCATCTTCTTCATCGAGCTTATACACGCATATGAACATTGTTGTTATTAAATACAAGTCAAGGTGCTAAGTAAGAGTTGTTATTATTCGTCAAAAAGTGCGTCAGTCGAATACTCGGGATTTTTGTGGAAGACAAATATTTACATAAATACACAAATTATATAAGTTGTGAAAAAGTAGATATCTGTTGAGTTGAACTTTTTTTCATAATTTCGTACGCGAATGAAATAAGAAATGTTGATCAGACGAGAATTGGAAATTATGGAGCCCTCATTGGGAAAGAGTAGTGGGAGTAAAGATCAGAATAAGCTGGTCCCCACGATGGGAACGGCACGCTTGCCCTCGGCCGCTGTGGCACCGTCGATTCCTGTCCCGGTGAACGAGGGGCAGGATGTTGTTCCGAGAAAAAAGGGGATTTTGAGGAGAGGTAGAGATTTTTTTGAAATATTTTGGAGAATAGATTTCTGGGCAGCTTTTACATATTTGCTTTTATGCTTCATGATGCTGATACTCTCGCTATTTATTTCAAATGTTGAGACACTTACTTCTTGTATTGTCTGTTTTTTCTCCCCAGTAGCCCTGACCACGATCCCACGAACGGATTCGGAGCTCCAGCTATTCCGTGTCCTCCAACGAGCCAATTTACTGTCCTATTTCGACGTTATGATCGAACTCGGGGGCGACGATGTCCAACAATTGTGTGAAGCTGGGGAGGAAGAGTTTCTCGAAATTATGGCTCTCATCGGGTAATTATTCATTTATTTTTTTACTCATTTTTATATAAGTTGACTCTAAATTTTTAAAAAATTGCTTGAAAATAGGATGGCGTCTAAACCATTGCATGTCCGCCGATTGCAAAAAGCTCTGCAAGAGTGGATGTCGAATCCAGGTACGTAATACAATTTTACCATGTTTTGATCCTATCTTGCACCACTTTTCTTACTCCTCTGGGTACGAGAACAACTTAGTTTTGCGTCACTTCTATGAAATAATGAGACTAGCTGATGTGAAGTAAAAAAGCTAGCATTAAAAATCAGGTTTCTTTCATTGCTCTCTTCTTCTTCGTTTGGATGGAAGAACAAGTTCCATTTTGTATATTATTAAGCAAGACGTATAGGCAGAGAGCAATAAATCTTGATGAAATTATTTTGCTCGCAATCTTGCACAAAAAACTGAATCCATCCATTCATCCTTCTTTCATACCTGTTCTTTAATTCTGAAAAAAAATCTCCTCCATCTCCAAATCTTTTTTCCATCGCTGAATACTAATTGCAAATCTTGTTCCATCCTCAGCCCTATTTCAAACCCCCGTGCTTCCACCTGGAGTCCCTCTCATCGGGGCACCACCAGTCGGTGCGGCCCGGTCATCAGCATCATCCGGCTCCAGTAATTCCAATCTGTTGACGCCATCACCTCCATCCAGCGCGTCAACGGGGCTAGCACCACAACTCATGCCAACAACTATCCCCACGACGCGCACGTCGCCATCACTTCCTTCCTCCCAGCAACATCAACAAGTTCCCATCCGACCCATTCCATACCATCATTCCTCCGGAAATGGTGGACCTTCAGGGTCCGCTGCTGCTGCGATGGCGATTGCTGCCGCTGCAGTACAACAACACGCTGCAGCAATGTTCTTCGATACTGGGAATAAGCATAAGCTGCACATAGCCACGACCACTAATAACTCGAATGGACATCATGGTCATCACAGTTCAAATAGTAATAGTCCCAATGGTGAGTCCCTATTCTTACATAAACTTGGTTGATCTGAATCAAATATGACAAAATTCTGACGACAAAATTGATTTTCCAGGGTCTCTAAACATGCGACCTGCGCATATGAGTCCGACTAGCAATGCGTCCGTTTCCACCCTTCAGATGAACCACTCTTTCTCCAACGGCTACCACCACCACCCACCAAGACATCATCAAAATATGGATCGCCAACAGGAGAAGGAAGTCCGCATTCCTGTCGACCAAATTATTCCGTCTCACTTTCTCGAGCAGCGTATTCGCACCGCTTCCGAACCAAATAGCCCTGCTGCTTCAGAATCTCCCAGCGAGTCGGGCTCCTCCCACTCGCCAGTCCCATTCCTGCAAGAGAACGAACTCACGAAAGTGATTGATGCGGCGGAACAAATGGTGAAAACTTTGCCACCCTATGTCTTCGAGCCACAAGTACCTTCCAAGCGCAAGTTCAGCGGAGATTTTGAGGTAAGGAGCCAAATGGGACAGAATAGTGTAATTTTATTGTATGAAAGCCAGAATACAATGTTTTTTTTATCTTAATTTACAGAAAGTGATGCGACTTTCTCCAAACGATCCTCAACGGGTAGAAGAAGTCAGAAAGATGTCGACTGTCTATGGACGCGCGGACCCCAATTGCAGCACGCACCCGAACAAAAGGAAGTTTCCAAAACCTCTGACGATGCATGAAGTCTGTGTTAATGAAGCAGCCGCGCAGTTGGCTAAACATGTACCTGCTCTGCTCACTTATCGGGATGAACTTTGTGCCTTGGCGAAACAGGTGTGAATACTACACAAGAATTATGTGCTTCTATAATTAGTTTAAATACGACACCGTTTTAATTTATTTTGTTCTTTGAATGGTACAGGTTGTTCGAGACGCTGGGTTATCAAATTATTCCTCCAACCAAACCCACAACTACGCCATCGCCGTAAACAACAACAATTCCATGAGCTATATGAATCAAAATCAAATCTACACGGGAGGATACAGCAAGAAAAATAGCTCTTCTTCCTCCTCCTCAAATCTTGAACTGGCCGGATATCTCATGGGTGGGGGTAGCTTGAATGGGATCAGTAGCAGCAATGATTCTAGTGTTGCTAGTAAAAGAGTGCGTATGGATGCTGCTAATGGGATTGAGATTCAGGTATGTGTACAAAAAATACAAGTTGCACTGCATATTTACATTGATAAGGAAAATGTTATTAACTGATTTAAATTTTCTTTGTAGGAATATTCTCGACCACCATCAAACCAGAGTGACATCGTCCCATCCGACAATGCGGACGCTATGCAAATCACCCCCATTAAAAACTTGCCGAGAAGATCACCCTCAGAGGAGCATAGCAGTCCTTTACCGTTGGAGGTAGGTAATGGCTTTATCACTAAAACGGATAAAAACCACTCCCAAACTTTTACTAACAATTTTCTTTCCCACTTTTTTTAGTTGGTAACGGTCACAACCTCTGCGAACAGTAGTCCTCGTCGCCGCTCCTCCCAATCTGTTTCTCCTCCCCGTCGACTCAGCCACGAGACTGACGATCTCCACAACAATTCTTATAACAAAGCGTCCAATAATTCGGGCGTGAAGACAATGTCGATTCCCGTTTCTGGAGGAAGCATAAATATTTCACATAATAATAGTAATGACACGATTCGGGGGACTCTGATGTTGCCCATCAAGATGGAACCTGCCAATTAGTTGACTCATTACTTATTATTAGTTAAGTAAATACCAATTAAATTAATGTCATCTCTCTAATAGGATAAGTTCAACTTGGTTGTAATATCCGGCAACCGTGTGCTATAAAGTTATTATATTACCGAATAATGTATGGTTATAATTAAGTAAGATGTATTACAGTTTCAGTTAGTACAGCGATTTGACATGTTGAAATACTTGATAGATATGATAGGACAGGGTTATCCAGAATTGGTTGGGTAATCTAATCAATATATAAATTCTCCGATTCTTGATTAGCAGTTATCAGAGTTAACAGAGAATATAGTGAGCTTTATTTTTTTTCAGTCATATATAAATAAATATAACCATATCAGATGAATTACTTAATACAAGTGCATAGTAATGGATCATTACAATATTACAACGAAACGTTAATAATGTTAAACGTTAATCTCAATCCAAAGAGCTACAATTTATTTACTTTCTCCTTCGTATAATAAAAGTACATAAATAATTGAGTACATGTTGTTCCATAGTTTAGAGATTACACCACAAAAATGTGCATTTATGATATTTATAAAACTTGGAGGCATAAATGTTGCAATTATCAACAAAGTTATTAAATAAATAAACAATAGTAAAAGATATAAAAATTATAAACCAACTTACTAAATTTATTGTTTAAATATGCAACATTGCAATCGACGCGTAGATTCTTGCTTGCATTATGCATTTTCATTCTTGTTACTGCCTCATCAATTAAAAGTAGCCCAGAAATTAATTTTTCATACGAAAAATGGAACTAGGATAAGATGCATATTTAATTATATGTGTCACATTTAATAATTAACACATTGAATTAAAACATTTCAAAATTTCAAAAATCTTATGGGCCCAATTTAACTAGAATTTAATTAGTTGCATCATTTTGGTTGATTTTTTTTCAACTATTTAATTAAAACCTACCATTTTTACCACTATAAACTTAATGCGTCATTATAATTAACTAATTAAATTAACTAGTTCTATGAAAAATTTTGAATTTAAAAACCATTTTGATAATAACAGAGTACAAGTGCTGGGTGAAAGTAGACACTTTCGAGGCGGTTTTGTGCTCAACTCATTCACACAGAACTCACATGTTGAAACATGATTTGTTGTCACAAAGAACGTTGAAAAATAAATAATTATAATAATTTTGATTTTGATTTTGATCTATTCGAATTTTATGAAATTTCTTAAAATTTAAAGTTTCCATTTTATATTTTATTCTTTGTTAAGATTTATATTTCAGTTAACAATCTAAATCTTGATGATTAGATTAGTCACTAATTCACTCTGTAAATTAGCAGTTAACAAAGAGTTGTCAATTCGATATTCCTTTCATACTCACCGGAAATTATTGTTGTCCTCGTCTGCTCTAATTAGTGGTAATTTACGCGATCGTGTTTATGGTCTGGCAGCTGTACCGTTTCAAAATGAATTTGTAAGAAATATAATTCAACTTCGAGGTGATTTTGTACGATATTCGTCGACTGGAGGACAAGCAAAAGAAGATACTTGTGAAGGGTTCCCTCATCAACAAGACCCAGACGAAGGACCTTCATTGCCAGAAAGCGTCGACGTTGACCAAAACGTTATAATGAAAGTTCTAAATGTGGCCGAAAAGAACGATGCTGCCAAACGTATTGCGGGGCTATTATCGTCAGGACGAGCTCAAATGGTAATAGCATTTGCTAATTTGTGGAATCCATCATCCGATGACTATTAAATTGACATTATTTATTTTCATTTAGAGAAACACATATTCAAAGTATAACAAAATATACGCATTTCCACATAATTTTCGAGGGCGAAATTGCGAAATAATAATGACATCCGTGTCCGGACATCTTCTCGGGTATGATTTCGACGATCGGTTTAGGAAATGGCATTCCTGCGACCCAGTTGAACTATTTGACGCTCCTGTTGTAAAAAGTTGTGGGAAGGACTTTAAAGATATTCTGGTAAGTTAAGAAAATTACAGATAATTAAGTAGTTATATTAAGTAAATAGTCAAAGAAAGTTAAATATGTATATTTTATTTTCTTTCCAGAGAACACTGGAGGAACAAGCTCGACAATGCAACGTTCTCGTTATATGGACCGATTGTGATAGAGAAGGAGAAGGGATAGGTTTCGAAATTATTGACGTGTGCGTAGCAAAGAATCCTCGGCTGGAAGTTTTTCGCGCAAAGTTTTCCGAAATTACGCCAACCTCAATCAACCGAGCTTGGGCATCATTGGGTCCTCCCAATAAACAAATGAGTGATGCTGTGGATGTCCGTTCCGAACTAGATTTAAGAATCGGTGCTGCCTTCACGAGATTTCAAACGTTGAGGTTGCAAAGAAGGTTTCCAGCTTTGGCCGAACGTCTCGTTAGTTATGGTTCTTGCCAGTTTCCAACCCTGGGTTTTGTCGTGGAAAGATATAAAGCCATTCAAGACTTCGTCCAGGAGGATTTCTGGAAAATCGAAGGTACCCTCCTACCAACTATAAACGCATACCATCTTTATTTTATTAATTAATTACGCGTTTATTATTTTCAAACCTAGTTACTCACCAGATTGACGGCTGCTCAGTAGATTTTAATTGGGCAAGAGTTAAACTCTTTAATAAATTAGCTGTTCAAATTTTGTACGAAAAGTGCATGGATAATCCAAATGCTAAAGTTATCAGAGTTCAAAGTAAACCAAAGCATAAATGGAGACCTGTAGCACTGGACACTGTGGTATGATTGATTCATTTTATGTGAAATATTGTACAGCTATTGATTGGTATTAAATATGCGCATAATTATTATAATTTTGATATTTTTCAGGAGTTTGAAAAATTGGCATCCAGAAAATTAAGAATAAGTGCGAAAGAAGCAATGAAAATAGCTGAAAAATTGTACACTCAAGGTATCATTAGTTATCCGAGGACAGAAACAAATATTTTTCCGGAAGGTCTTGATTTGAGACCATTAGTGAATGAGCAGACGGCAAGTAATCAATGGGGAGGTGCGTGTTATTTATTCTTTCTATGTTTAAGTAGTCATTTTCAACAGCAATTCTAATTTATTGGCATTATGAAGGGTTTGCACAAAGAGTGGTTCAAGAGGGACCAAATCCAAGGAATGGTAAGAAGACAGATCAAGCCCATCCCCCGATTCACCCTACAAAATTTGATGCCACACTTCAAGGTAAGAATTATCAGAAATAATTCCGAAACAATCTTTCTGAAATGCAATATAAGTAAATCAATATTTTGAATTATTTTGATTGTAGGGCCTGAAGCAAAAATTTACGAGCTAATAGTACGTCACTTCTTAGCTTGTTGCTCAAAGGATGCAGAAGGCCGTGAAACCACTGTTGAAATTGAAATAGCGGAGGAGAGAGTAAGTCCTAATAATGATAAACCAACTGAATAACTACAAAGTGAGCTAAAGGACCTTCTTTTGTGCTGTTCAGTTTGTTGGACATGGACTCCAAGTCCTGCACCGAAACTACTTGGAAGTTTATATTTACGAAAAGTGGACAGATAAAGAACTACCGCATTTCCAAGAGGGTGAAATTTTCCGACCTACACGAATTGAAATGGTAGAAAGCCAAACATCGCCCCCAAACCTCTTGACTGAAGCAGATCTCATCGCGTTAATGGAGAAACATGGCATCGGAACTGATGCGACTCATGCTGAACATATTGAAACAATAAAACAACGTATGTACGTGGGGGTTCAAGAAGGAAAATTCGTTCCTGGACAATTGGGCATGGGTCTCGTAGAGGGTTATGATTCCATGGGATTTGAAATGTCTAAACCAAATCTTAGAGCTGAGCTAGAAGCCGATCTTAAAGGGTGAGTACGAGTTGCCAATTTTTCACGTTGTAGTAAATTGAAATATTTATTTTATTTTACGTAGAATTTGCGATGGAACAAAGAATCCTCAGAGAGTGCTCAGGGACCAAGTTCAAAAATATAAGCAGGTTTTTATCGCCGCCACAGATCAAGTACGACAATTGGATGCAGCAGTTTCAAAATTCTTGGGAGCAGCACCTGGTAATGCTCCTCCTCCGGGAAATGGCCCACCAAGACAGCCCCCTCCACCTGCACCAAGACGCGGTGGTGGTGGTGGAGCTAATTCAGACGACGACGACGACGACGATCCACCAGGACCAGGAGGTAACTAACAATTATATCTAATAACAATAACAATTGTAATACAATTATCGTCTCCTATGTTTCGCAGGAGGTCGTGGGCGAGGAGCTGGCCCTCGAGGTGGTGGATCTGGTGCTGTAGGTGGAGGAAGCAATAACTTCAACAGGCCAACTGCTCCGCAAGGACGAGGAGGGACCAATGGTTATCCTCAACCTCCCACTCGTCCCAAAGTTACCTTACCAGTTCCATCCAACAGTAGACCACCCCCAGTGGTTGGAAATAGTTCATCTAACAATTTTTCATCTAATTCCATAGTGGTGGTGAAATGTGACTGTGAAATACCAAAAGTGCTTCAAATGAAATCCGTTCAAAATGCACGAGTCACAAGAACATTTTGGACATGTGACGATTGTGGATTTTACCGGAAAGGGGATGAAACGAAAAACCCCGAGCCTGATACATCGTATTCAACTCAGAGTAGCTCTAATTATAATAACTATAATAGTAGTAATTCTTGGTCTTCCACGCAAAGAGGAGGTCCTGTCCAGCAAACTAACCGATTCCAATCTCAGAATACCACACAGCGTCCCACACCTAGTTGGTCCACCCAAGGTGATGAAAATGAGGACGATACAGGAATTCCTTCTTGCAACTGTGGGGAACCAACATTGTCGTAAGTTTATATATACGTCTATGTTATACATATATCGTCTAACTTTGAGGTCTGGTGCTAATGCCATAATTTGTATATTTACAGTCGAACCGTAAGGAAAGAAGGTCCCAACATCGGGAGGCTATTTTTTGCATGTCGCAAAGCAATGGACGACCCTGCCAAGTGCAACTTTTTCAAATGGGATGACGAAGGAATTGGCGCAGTCAAAAAACCGAACAATCGTGCCCCACAGAAGGATTATCAATACCAAGGCGGCTCGTCAAAATTTCCCACAACGAAATCGGCAAAACGAGGAACGGGAGGAAATTATAAAGGAAAAGGAGTTGGCGGACCTCGTAAATGCAGCGTTTGTAAAGAAGTCGGCCACACGAAACGTAATTGTCCCGTTGCCACCATGGCTAGTGGTAATATGACGGATGAAGAAATGAATGACTATTAGATGAGTTTCTTTTTGGTGTTCGCCACGCAAAGCTACACATTATATGTACAAGCGTATTTCTAGTCTTAAACTTTTGCATTCAACAATAATCGTTATTAACAAACAATGCAAACATTTTGTATGCATTATCCGATATGTAAAATAAGAAGTTTCAAATACTTTTATAAACTGTTTTAACCATGTCTTAAAAATGACATTACTCATTTCTGTTTAGTGTTCATTTTCCATAGTATTACGTAAACACTTCCCGATCCTCGGAATCAGTATCTCGTGTTGCAAATTCCCCATTGCATATTTACTCTGCTCCAGTTTTTTTCATGTTTTTGTTATGTGGTTATAAAACATTCCAAGTACTATACGTACATGCATTCCGTCATCTCATAATCATAAATATTTTTAACGCGCATAAGTCGGTATGACATTGTATTGTTACGTAAATTTAGAGGGCAAAAAGTATGCCCAAGGTAAACAATTAATTGAAACATGTGATGACTCAATGTCTAACTATATAACTCAACTCTCAACTGTTCTGTTCACTCTATAAATATATCTCGCCCAACCAACGTTAAGCTTTACATTTAGGAGATTTCATTTCCTTTGCAGTGCAGTGCAATTAAGGTAAGTAAGTTTTACGTTAAACACTTTTCGGCAATTTAGCAAAGCAATTAGTGCTTATGTACATAACCAGCCTGGAATTTGTCCACACAAAAGCATTGGTAACAAAGAAGGGTGTCAGGTGTCAATAAGTGGTGATCGATAGACCAGAACCATTCATTGATTGTACAATGATATGATGTTATTAGCATACTAATTTTGTCACTATCTACTGCGAACGTGTTACTCACGATAGATATGTGCCGTATCAGTAGTCCAAGGATATCCTTTCTGATTACTGATTAGATTTCTGGAATTTTAGCAGAAACATCATACAATATTGAGTCTCATTAGCAGATTGGCGATTGCATGTATTAAAAAATAGCTAGGTGAGGTTATCTATTAGATTTTAAAACCGCATTTTTCATCTTACCATTGGTCCGCATTCAAATGTATCAATGGGTAAAATCATTCAAGATAAATCCATTTCATTTCAATTACAGATTCCGAATAAATGTCACACAGCAAATCGTCATCAGCACAAAAGTGTTTCACGAATCTTGCCATTTTTATATTTCTTCTAAATTTCTTTGTTACTGGCACGATGGCATCCGTAATCAGCAAAACGCTCGAAGCCAGTCTGAAGAACGGAGGCACGGCATCCGCTGTGGTAGTTATGGCCCGTGAAACGCAAGAAGTCTTGTCAAAAATAGAGACACAACAATTCGCCAATCGAGACGCCCGTGCGGACGCTGTGACTTCGGGACTTCAAGAACTGGCAAAAGATTCACAGAAGCATTTGAAAGAGTTTTTGGACTCTCAAACACCCCCCGTCCAGTATCAGAGTATGTGGATCAGCAACACGCTCATCATTAAAAACGCTACGTTGGACCTTCTCCAAAAATTGGAAAAATTGGGAGGAATTAAGGAAATCAGGGAGGAGCATACGGCCCACCTTTTGGAGAACTAATAAAAATATTTTATTTATTCGATCCCTAAAAAATTCTATCCTTGTGCTTAAATAAAATTTATATCATTGACTTATTTGGTTGATAATTTTGCCATCATTTAGTACGCTCGCTGGATTATTAAAATTGCAATCATGATAATCGAAGGGCCCCAGGCTGTATATGAGGGATTCATGCAGGCTACTAACCAAGACAGTGCATATCATTGTAGGTTTGCTTGATTAGCTAAATGCACCAAAATTAGTAAATGCATGGAATGCATTCAAAAATCATGTTATTAAGCGTATAGTCATACTAAATTAATTGTCCATATAACCTTGGCTTGAACACGTACTTGTAATTTGGTTTATTTATCCGAGTCTATATATTACCAAATCTCAAAAGACCTAATAATATTTAAGAATATGAATATTAGCGATAGATTGCGAATCATACACAATCCTATGTGGTATCACATATTTGTAACTTCTAGCCTAATTATTATTAAGAGTATAAATTTGTATAAAAATAGTCAATAAGCACATTATCAAATCTTCAAGGATGATGTTATCTTCTGCCCACTTCCGCTTGTACTCGTACTGTAAAACCCATTGAAGTTATATAATTCCAAAAAATACGATACCTTAGGGTAGTAGCCTCGATGCACCAATTTGTACGCCACTGTATTGGCAAAATTGATACCCACATATTAGAAATATCTTTATCATTCATAATATTTTGAACCATTGTGTCAATTATTTATACTTACCCTCAACAAAAACCTTTCCAATTTCATCAACAGCCTTAAACGTTCGTGACAATCTTTTAAACTCGGTATCGGAAATTTGAGAGTAATCAATACAACTTGTATCTTCTTTGTCCTTGGTGAATTGGCGGAGCTGATGGCAGAACGTCTCAATAATTACGAGTTGATTCATTAACAGTTTCATGACACCTTCCGCCTTTGTCCCGAGGAGGCAACTGCAAATTTACAAGAAAAACCGTCAAACATTCAAACTAAGGATAAGTTACGTTTCAAAATAAACCAATCTAAGAATAAGGATTACTTTGTGGTTATATTTTTAATGTGGCGAACAATGGCCTCGTAAATTTTATCCAACGAATCTATCTTCTCAAAGGATGCGCACAAGTCGCTCCAGGCACACTGAATCACAGTAACGTTGACATAATTCCTAATGGTTCTTACAAAGTGGAGCAATCTGACTCGATACGTGGCTAACATGAAGAGTTTCTTTGATGACTTTTTAACACTTGTTGCCTTCATGGACACAAATGTGGACTGCAGGAGCATTTCCACCCGATATAGTTGCATCTGAAAGATGAAGATTCGTTCGAAAGAGTGAATCACTTCATCCGTTAGCAGCACATTCAGTGGCCAAGTCACATTGTAACACAATTTAATAGAATTCAGAGTCTGATATGGGGATGAGATGTGTGGTGTGGCTTCTTTTTTATGGTCACCGGTTCCACCTTTTTCCAGGACAAAATTGGATGCGGTTTTGCTGGAGGTATTGAGCGTAAATGATAAATTGGTCGCGAATTCTTTATCATCCTCATTCTCTACCGCGATCCCAACTGCTTCAACCAAAATGGTATTTAAACGACCGATCCTTGACAAAATCCCACTATCTTGCTGTTGACCCAGTTGATTTTTTGGGGCCTGTTGTTGATCTATTTCTAGGATTAATAGTTTCGTCATAACGTGGCCAAACAGTCCATTTTGAAGACAGAGAAAATTGTGAAGGGCGGACACGTGGTGGAACAACTTTTTTTCACAAATGTAGAAATTCAGGAGAGCAGCATTTGTGACTTTGTATTGAGCACGGGCCACAAAAGTCACGGCCTGCGAGAGAAATTGATTCAGCAGGGAGGGTGAGCTTTCTTGGCGTAAGGAGGCAATAGTAGAGGAGAGTTTTTCTTCATTTTCATTAGTAGTAGTCATTACTGTCGTGGTCAGAGATGTGGAAGCAGCACCAGCATTTTTGAAGTCGTCATTATTAATATTGGTGATACTGAACGGGGTGAACATGTTGGCCGACATAAAGGCGGTGGTGAATCGGCTTGACGAGGATGGAAGAATATGGGCTGTTGAGTAAGCAGGAGGTGCAGTAGTGATCAACTTGTCAGGGTCAAGACGTTCGTCTTCTTCTTCGTTGTCATTTTGACCGCTTGTAATTTTTGAAATTCTATAATCCTCTTGTTGACTATTCGAATAAATTGTAAGGGGATCATTATCGTCTTCTTGGGTGATGCTGGCATAATTTTTTTCAGATTTCTGGATTAGTTGCAAAAAACTGACTGCTTTTCCCGTTTCAAAGACAAATTCCCAAGATTCTTTAAGAAACTCTGGTACTTCTTGAACATGGTGAAACTGCTTGGACCAAAATCGTCTATCGAAGTAGGGCTCATCTTTTATCTTGGTAATGTGAAATTCAGACTTTGACGGGAGTTGACCTCGAAACATCCAATTTGACACGTGTCTAAAAAATGTGGACATGAAATACATAATTACTGTGATGCTGCGAGGCCAATTAAACTTAGGAGGGGAGCTTGCGAGGTTGATAATAACAGATCTTGATGCCCTTTGGATATGTGGTAGGGACCCATGAGTGTACTAAAACCCTGAATTGGTTTGACTCCATGGCCACATTTACGCCCGCCACACCCACTCAAAAATGCTCAAAAAACGCTTTCACTCCAGTTTTCACTCACTCAAATCCACGCCAAAAATCCAATTTTACTCGGATTTTGAAATTTCTTTCACCATTATACTCCCAGATAGTTTCTTTCTTCAATCCAATATCAAACTCAATTTTTTCGAAATTTTTAGTATTTTTAAAATTTAAATTTCTGAATGAGCATTGTTGTAGCAATCAACAAGGCAAATTATGCCTGCGAAATAATAATCAGCAAAATTGAGTTTGATATTGGATTGAAGAAAGCAACTATCGGGGAGTATATTGGTGAAAGAAATTTCAAAATCCGAGTAAAATTGGATTTTTGGCGTGGATTTGAGTGAGTGAAAACTCGAGTGAAAGCGTTTTTTGAGCATTTTTGAGTGGGTGTGCCGGGCGTAAATGTGGCCATGGAGTCAAACCACTTCAGGGTTTTAGTACACTCATGGGACCCTACCACATATCCAAAGGGCATCAAGATCTGTTATTATCAACCTCGCAAGCTCCCCTCCTTAGTACATACGTTAAGTATGCGGTTGCACAAGAGATGAACAGGTTCTTAATTAAAGGAGAACAATGTTTGGACCGTTCCGAGAGTAACAGCCAATTAAGATTGTTCATAAATGAAACGGAATCATGAGGAAGCTTATCACTGTGAAACCAAATTTGATGAAGAGCGTCCAATTGTTGGCGGAATGGCTGTATGGGCACATAAATAGAAAAATGCTTTAATTTGCAATCATGATATTAAAATTTCACATTGTTTGGCTGGTTTACCTCAATAAAAGTACAGAGTTCTGTAAAAGTATGAATCGTGTTGAAATTTACCATCAACACGGTATCAAAGATTTTAACATAATTCGACGCGAACTTGATAAATGCGGCATCTACAATCGTCCCTGCCACAAATTCACCACTCCCACCATCACCATATTCTCCAAGTTGACGCAATTTTCGTACATTGTTCCCTAATTCCACAAATGGTAAGGAGTAATTCCATAGGACCGAATGAGTCAATCCATGTACCAAGAGGGACGGATTTTTCGAAAATTTTCCATTTTTGAGAACAAACACGATCGAACCTCGACCGGAGAGGAGATGAATCACACTTTGGATAAATTGTTGGACAGTTATGTAAACTATTTTGTCTATTAGCACGATTTCACCGGGGGGTTTACTACTAGTTTCTTTATCCTCAGATTTAGACTTTGTAGGGTTATCAGCAGTTGTTGGTCTGATCGAAGGAGGCAAGGGACCAAGCTTCCACAACGAGTCGATAGCTTCACTTGACTTTTCGACAGAATCGAGAATAAATGTGGCGGCCTCATTATGACGTCCCGACGAGGGACCGTTTACGAGTCGAACGTGGTCTTGGTGAAATTTATAAGGTACCGGTATTTGAACATGGTCCCAAGATAAGCTATCTTCTTCTGGGGTGGTTATCAAATTGTCGGAGATAGGCATAATTGTTTTGAGGTGCAATGTGCAAAACAAATCTCACAAACATTTACGTTAGAACTGTAGAAGAGTGATGAGACAAAGTCAAGAAAACAACATAAATACACCAACAGAATTTTTAAAATTTTAGCACCGAATTTTTTATAAAAATCTCATTTGGCCCCGAAAAGAAGTTGACGACGTCAACTTGACGTCGACTGTTTCGGGAATGTCGACGACATTTCTGACACCCACCTAAAAACAAATCTTAGATAACCAATTGATTAAAATTGTTAATAACAATTTACAGCTTTAATGATTGTAATATATGTTATACGTAAAGATTTATTTTGGTATTGTCTATGCATTCAGAGCCTGAATTTCAGGCGCGTGTGTTTACGAGAATTTGCATGTAAATGAAAATTATTAAATCCAATATTTAAAAAAATCCTCATACAAAATATATAGCAATTGTACATCACAAATCACATTGACACAATATCCACATCGTCATCATCTTCTTCCCCTCTTCTTCCACCTTCTTCCTCCGCCAGTCTCCTCCTCCTCGGTGGGGGCAAGCCATAAGATACAATATTTTTGTCCGCCAATCTCTCGAGATTTACTTGCACAGGAAAAGTTCTTGGTTTGCAGTAGAGTCGATTGATTCCCAGATATTTACACTTGATCGGATTGAAAGCGTACAGCACTGGCCAATATTCCTCTTTATAGAGACGCTCGGCCTGAGTTAAAGGGTAATATCATTAGTAATAATAATTTAATTAATCTGAGTGACGCCATGTTCACCTTATGTTGCTCCATGACATTCTCTTTGACCTCAAACACTCCATAAGACGTCGGTCCAAGAAATCGTTGAGCGTTGCCTAAAGTTTTATGTATTTCTAGAACCTCGCCCCCTTGAATGGTTGGCTGTCTTGTGTAATCTTCACGGAATAGTTTGAAATGTTTAAACATTCTTCGTTTAAGGAGTAACATTCGTTTTGGCTCATTTTTCAATTTTTCAGCATGTTCATGCGTGAAACGGCCAATTGCATTAGAATTCTTCATCTTTTCAACCTCCGCCTCATTCCATCCTGACAACCATGGATCATCCAACAGTTCAAATGTTCTTGGTCGATACCGTTCCCAAGTGAAAATCTTTTTTAAAGCAATCTTTCCCCCGACAGGGACAGTTTTCGCTTTTCCTTTTGGGTAGACTAAGCCACGATTCACAATTTGTTCAATTTTCTGTCGGAAATCTTCACTACTTTGACCATCACCTTTGTCGGGGAAATTGAAGGGGAATTTCTTAAAGAAGAGGGAATATAAGAGGACACCTAATCCCCAAACTTGATCCAAAAGTGGATTGAAACCAATTTTTAAGACGCGTTCCGGACCCCGGTAGAATATTGGGCCGTATTCGTGGTTGAATGTGGTTTTTGCAATGTTTGATGCGTCCCCTCGATTCTGGGAAGTAGTTTTTTCCGTATGAGTTATATCAATGATTCGAACTTCCCAATGTAGACCGACGAGGATGTTTTCGAGTTTTAGGTTTCTAGAAATGAATGAGATTTAAAAGTAATTCACAATTGAAGCTAGCAAATAATTAGGCTAATTCAAATACGTACCTGTGCACAATGTCTTTGTCATGCAAATGACTCACAGCGTACACAATCTGAACAAATATTTTTCGCACAATCTCGGGATCAAGGGGACCTTCGCTTTTCTTTAGAATGGAGAGTAGATCACCTCTGGGCATGTATTCTATGAAGATGGAGGCATACATACATACGTGAATAAATTTTATTTTTGCATTTCACTCGTATAACAAACCTGATAGATGATACTTCCAGAAAGCGTTCTCAACCACACCGTAATACTGAAGAAAATTTGGATGACCAGTGTCCATCACATGGCAAACTTCTTTAAGCATTTTACGCTCAAGCTACAAAGGTATAATAAGTTAGTTTCATACATAGGTACATTCTGAACTCACGGCTTTTTCTGACCTGCATCCAATGCGGCGAATTCTTGTTATACATTCGGACCAAAATTTCCTTGTTCTTTCCTTTCCAATTGGCAACCTATACAAAAAGAGTATCTAAATCACAAGCACAGTGAATTATAGAAATTTAAAATTTCTCACCCTCAGCTCGCCCCACTTGCTCTACAAAAGGTACCTTTTTAGTACTTTAAAATTTTTTTATATGTAAAATTATTTCAAATTACCTTGTACAATGGGGGCCCATCCTTTAAAATGATGTTGTTCTTCATTAATGTCATATGACTGTCTTCCGAATCCTTGTAAAGCTTGATACGATTCACATGAGGGCGATATATGCGTTCTTTACCTGTAAAATTGATGCGCGCATGGTCAATTTCATAGGCTCAAATTGTAATATTTTAGATATACCAAGCGAAAGTGGAGCAAACTCCCCAGCGAAATATGGCGTTTTCAGTGATCTTGGCAAGCCGGGTGGCCTTCGTAGAGTAGACCATCCCATCAATTGTGGGAAATCACACCGAATAACGCGGTACTCCCCACGTCGACGATACTTTAAGAATTCCGGTGCAGTGTCAAAACCTTTGAGGGGTTTGTTTTGATATGCGATTGGGGACGTCATCCCAATGACGACGCTGAGAATAACTTATGTATAAGACCAATAAGAAAACAAATACAAAAATTAGCCAAAAGTTCGTACAAAAAAATAGTCCTCAAAAATATCGAGTTCTAAATTGTGTCGAGAAATCAAACTTGAAATATGATTTAGCTCTGAACTTAGAGCGCCATGATAACACAAATTTTATAATGACTAAATCTTCAAAATGGAGGTAGTTTCGGAGCGGAAATCTGATTTATACAACTTGCGAACATTTTATTTGTACCAAAAAATTAGAAACTAAATAAATTACAATCACTAATTGCTAATTGACTGAGTTGTTGAGACTTGCTAACATTAACTTTATGTATATTTTATAATTCATCCCGCATTAACCTGTCTTTCTCCATCCTTTCCAAAATACTTTTAACCAAGGCCATCTCCTCCTCCCACTCTTTTTCCCCAAATTGTTTCAACTTGGTTAATAGTGCTCTGAAAATGTGGAGATATTCTGATACTCCATCACTACTACACAAGGGCAAACTTTCGGCTACAGCTTCCACAGTGTGAAGTTGATCTTCTGTATCAAAGCCAGGAATATTCTTGACAGAATCAAGAATAACATCGCACCAGCCAGATTGTTTTAATGTCTTTTCCAAGATACTGAATTCGTCGCAGTCAGAATCAGCCAATACGTCGGCGCCTAATTCATTGACATTATCCTCTCTGCAATGGTTGTGCTCTTGAAGAAGATCTGTGACCAAATTGAGGCATCGTTTCCGTGTTTCTGCAAATGAAAGTCGCCATGAAATTATTATTTATTGCTAAAAAATTCGGCAGCTGAAGTCTAAATTTATTGCTCACCCAAAAAAGACGCCACCTTCACTAACGCCGGTATTCCTCCCTCACCCATAAATTTGGACTGGCCCATTCTAAAATTTCTTACTAGAGCTGATAACGCCCACAATGCTTTAGATCGAACCTTCTCATCAAAACTGATTATGTGTATTAGACGTCGAATAACGCCTGACTCGGAGACAATAATTTCTTGCACTTCACGGTTATTCTGGGACGCGATGGCGAATATGGCACAGGCGCTGCGACGCACTGAATCATGACTGGAATTTAGGGCAGGAAGTAGAATCTCCTGGAATAATTAAAATTTTTAAATTATATTAACACTAACATTCGATTTTAAAAAGTTTAGTTCAATTTTCCACCTGAAGTGCTCCTGTTGCTTTGAAAAGATCTCTCCCATTCTCCCATTTATGACTAAAATTTTCTAAATTTTGTAAAATTTCGACTTGTTCCTCAACACTTTCCGAGCGTGGATACTGTGCGAGGAGAAATGTTAAGATGAACTCTTCGGAGGCGTGTTTATCCGGATTTTGGAGGGATACGGGCTTGTCTTTTACGGTGAGCCGATCGGATTTGTCCTGCAATTACGAAACAAGAAGACATATTAACTTATAAAATTGTTTTGTGGTTCATACATGGTAAATGTCAAGTTAATTATTGTCTTACATTGTGTTCATCCAAATGAGCAGTGGCAATTTTGACATGGGCGTCAATCTTTTCTGGTGGTAATAATGATTCCTTCTTTTTTAATTCTGTCGGATTGTTATCGTTTTCGACGTGATCCACAACCGGTGACAATGCTACCATTCCTTGTCCAACACATGACAAAAATAGTGACGACGATACAAACACAAAGATAAAGGTGAACAAGCAGAAGAAACTATATGAACCCATTTTGTTAACGTTTGGTTACGTTACATGAACCACACAAGTTCTCACATTATAAACTTTTATCCAACTCAACCACCCCTAAATTACTAAATTACTAACTATTTTTTATTCCACGTGTGATTCACACTACACGTAATATGACAGCTGCGAATGCAAAATGAAGTTCCCACTTGCCGACTCCACGACTCTCCGAATACACTCATGTAAAAAGCTATGGTACTTTGTTTAATTTTAATACGTAAATTATGCGGATGAATTATATTATATGGATAACCCACAACATTAATTGAATTAGCTTAGCATCATCACTTGTCATTGTTCGTTCGTTCCTTGCAAACAAATTTTACAGGAATATCTTAGTCTCAGTCATTTGTCTTAAACATACATTACAAACTAGGTATGTAACTATTTTAATAATTAGTATAAATAATCCAATCTACTGACCTACTTTGATAAGTTCACGTATTAGTCCACTTGATGACATAATAATTTTTCTTGCCGACTCTTGCCAATGAAATCTTGTTCTGTAAAATGTGCACTCCAGGAACTACGACTTCTTGTGGGTTTGAGATCTTTCTATGATTAAGATAAAACCCTCCGGCACTAATTATTCTTAGGGCATCACCTGCAAAGCAAAGCAATCTAAATTAAACTATCAAGACTTAATATCTTAATGTAGGATATTTTTTTTAATGCCACCTACGTTCATTCTCGAAACATCTCGCCTTCATTGCCATTTCTAACAGAGTAGTTCCGGGAGATAGGATTAGTTCGGACAAAAATGACGATGTTGAGGATTTACTCCCAGCCGATACCGCACTATTAAACAGATTCTGAACCTCCTGTGGCGTAAGAGACGAAAGTGCTTCCAAATTCTCGGAATATAATGCTTCCGTGGATTTAAGGGCAATAGATAAGCCTTCTTCTGCAAAATAGATAATAACTTCAGTAGCTTGTTGCTTGTACACATGTTCAGTAAATTATGGATTTATGTAACTGGCACATACCACCATGGACTAGAAGTGTAACATTTTTTGCGAGCTCCTTTTGCGGTATCCTAAGTTCAGGATTTTTCTACAAAAATATTAAACAAAATATATACTAAATACTAAATAAATTTATCTGCTACACATCAAGAAAAACATAATTTTTTAGTATGTACTTGGTGTTTCCTCGCTAATCCTTCAATTTCCTCGTCAGTGTTAAATGTAAATATTTTGAGCAACCTTCCCACATCTGCATCCTTTGTTCTTAAGAAGAATTGATAAAAATCAAAAGGTCCAGTTTTTTCGGGGTCCAACCAAATCGCATTTCCTGCCGTTTTCCCGTATTTTGCACCCGATTCAGTCTCAGTGATTAAGGGGACCGTGATTCCTGGGCAATTAATTCACAAATCAAGCCAGCAAATTTGGTTACACATGCAACATATAAAGAATCTCGGAATACTCTTACCATAAACGGGTGATCTGACCGTCCTACTGATAAGTTCATGTCCCGCATAGATATTTCCCATCTGATCGTGTCCCCCAACTTGGACATGGCAGTCATAATGTTTTAGCAAATGCAGCCAGTCATAAGATTGAAAAATTTGATAGGTGAATTCCGTAAAAGAAATTCCTTCTTCAGATGATAAACGTGACTTTACAGATTCCTTCATCAGCATCGTCCCAAGCCGGAAGTGACGCCCAATTTTTCCAACAAATTCTAAAACCGGCATGTTCCTGTACCAGTCGAAATTGTCTAGAATTCTGCGAAACATTTTAAAACGAATTAATAATAGAGACTAATGAAATGATTTGCATACGCATTGTATCGTATCGTAAGTGCATGTCATTTAGTAGTATTAAGTACTTACAACACTTTGGACAACGCTTCCTTTCCTCGTTTATCGTCCCAAAACAATTTTTCATGATTCTCAAACAATTTTCTCAAGTTATTCCCAATCTTGTCCACGTTTTTCTTTGCAGTTTTTCCGTCTAATTCAGAACGTTCGGTCTTGCGCCCAGACGGGTCACCAATTCGCCCAGTGGCACCGCCAACCTAAATATCGGCAGTGCATTTAAGCAACTAAGAAATAAATCGCAAATCATAGCACCATAAACTAACTCACCAATGCAATGATGTGATGTCCTCCTCTCTGACAATTCAAAAGCATCATTATCACAGCCAAATTCCCGACGTGCAAACTTTCTGCTGTGGGGTCGAATCCGGCATAAATCGTGACCGGTTTGGTGTTACAAAAATCGATAAACCTTTGTTCTTCTTCGGCTGGGAAGAGGGATGAAATTAGGCCACGACTCCGCAAAGATAAAATATTTCTAGAAGAGTAAACCCGACGGGGAGCCGATGACGATGTCACCCAACAAGGTCGTCGCAAATTGGTAAGGGTCAACTTTCGTAATAATGAAAACGGTGTCATCATAATGATAAAGTATTAATGTACAAAATATGTATTAAATTAACTATTAAACTACAATTACAAGTTAAATTATAAATTAAATGATCTTGTTTGTCATTCGTGTTCAAGTCTAAATTAGAATTTCGCCGTTGTCGACACTTCGCCCTTGTCGAAAAATTTAAAAACAAAACAAAACTACAAATCCAAAATCTCAATTCTTGTCAACATGTGCTCGACTTCTGCAAAAAACCGGCCCGCGATTTATATACAATCACACTGGAGCAGCTCACATGGACACGAAAAAAAACATTGATCAAACTTTTCGCAAATTCGCAATTGGAAACTGATTTTTTTCTAGAAAATCTGAAAATCTCTGGTAGTTGGCCTATAATCAACGAAGCAGTTATCTTGTAACGTTTTGATAAACGGTAAATATTATATATTCCAGAAATTCTTATTTTGTTCAAGGGAATATAATCATTTTGTTGGAAATTGTAATAATTTTAATAGTTTTCGACACTTCTATCATCATGTCGTCGATGGAGTCCAATTTCTGGCAGAATCTCGACCAGCATCTCAGCAACTTCCAGTCGCAGGATAAAAATGTACGAAGAAATGGTCTGAAAAACCTTCTCACAGAATTAAACAAGGTCATGCCGAAAGAGGTGATGACGACAAAGGAAAAGATACAGAAAGATGCCACTAATGACGACAGTGACGACGACGACGATTCCGCCAGCGGTGATTCTTCATCGACATCTCCTGTGCTCTCCGCTGAAATCATGTCGACGTTGATGCCAGCCTTGTTTCTCCGTCTGTCAGACCCGGTTGAAGCATGTCGTGAACTTACGTACAACATTTTGACCTCAATTATTTCCGGTACGAGGATAGTTTCCTCCTTGACCCCATTTCTTCCTCACCTCATCCCCATTCTGCTGGATCGACTAGGAGGCACAGAATTGGTCGAATCATCTGAAGAAGTCAGACTCATTGCTGTCAACTTTATGATAACGCTCCTTGATCGTGTGGGGGTGGGCTTGTCGCCATTTATCGACGACTGGATATATATTCTTGCCGTCACGTTGACCGATCCATTTCATGAAGTCCGGAAATCTAGTTGTACTCTTATTTCGAAAAGTGCAAGCCTTCTTCGTCATGTTTTCCACTACAATAGTGAACGTCTCAACAAACCGTTGGTGATCTGCTTAACGCATCAGCAGAGTAAAGTCCGTGTGGCTGCAGTGAGATGTATTGGTAAGGATATTTCAAACTTTATATCTCTATATTACTTACTTGAATCGTTAGCATCTTTATTTTTGAATTAAACTTAATAATAATTTGCAGGGGACGTTTTGCTCTACGGAAATCACAAGGTCATCACAGATTTCATCCTTCCTTTAACCTTGCGCCTCTTTGATTCTCAACCAAACGTTCGTCTCGCTGTGGTTGACGTTGTCGGAACTTGGATGTTGGATTATGTCGATCGATATTCATATTTTCACAACCTACTTCCAATCCTGATGACCGGATTGTGCGACGAATCTCCCCCTGTGCAGGAGTCCGCGTCCAAATTTTGGGAGCACATTGGGGAAAAATATTTAGAAGAAAATCTCGAAGAGTATAAAGATCAAGTTGATTTCCCCTCTCAAATGCCGGCCCATTATCCGGATGATGGTATAAATTAAACGGATCAATAAATTTTAAAACATGAATAATCTAAGGGGCATCTCCTTCGTAAAATTTCCTATGAAACTAATCCTATTTCACTTTCAGTAAAACGCCCAAATTTTGGATGCCGCCTCTTAACGCAGCGTCAAGTTGGAAAGATTTTACCTGGAGTGACAAACGATATTACGGATTGGGTTGTAAGTAATTTTAAAATAATTTCTCACTTTTTCCGATTATATTATATTGTACAAAAGTATTTATTCCTGCGATTTTAGGAAACAACCCGTCAAAAATGCGCCCAACTTTTATTCCATCTCATCCTAAATTGTGAAGAAGCTATAACGATGCATTCCGAACCCGTATTACAATGTATTTTCAAATCATGTATGGATCCGAATCCAGTCGTTTCGAAATATGTATGTACAAATAACTTGTTAACTGACTTGTTTAAATTGGGCTAGTTTATGTATGTGTTTCATTGTTTTAGGTTTTGCGATCTGCCTCTCTCCTCGCGTATTTTGCCCCGTTTCCCGTTACATGGTCAATTTTATCGAATCGGTTGTCCAACAACCCAGCTGAATCTGGCTTAGCACCTACGTCTGCCATCATTTCTGCTACAGAACGATCCATTCTGAAAGAACATATTGTCGAGGTTGCTTCACTCCTGTCCCAATCTGATATTTGCCACACTCTCAAAACATCCAGACAGTATTGGCTCCTTCAAATTTGTGCTGGACTAACCAGGGAGGAATCGTTCTTGGACAACGAAGAACGTTTGTCTGGAGCGGAAAATATATTTCGCATTTTGCTCAGCGTCCTAGCCATGACTGAGGATGGCGACGTTAAAGCGAGAGCAATTGGTATTGTTTATAAACATTTGAAGTTGAATACGATAGATCAACAATAAAATAATCAGGGTTAAGAACTAAGTGCTTGTTATAGTTGGATTAAACGATCTTAAGCGGGCCTGTCACTATGAAAATTTGGACGATCTCTTTGTTTCTTTCTCACATGGAGTTCTGCAAGATATTAAGATATCATCCGATTCTCTGTGGGGACGAGTTACACCAGAAAATTTGATCTTTTCAGCAATTTTGACGTATGGAGGTATGTCAATGGCGGTTGAATAGTTATTCTTTTTTATACCCAAAAATTAAAGATATGTAACAATATTTTGTATTGCATAGGTTCTTCCGTACAAAAATATCTAACCATCGTTCTGGACATTTTAAAGAATCAACTCGATCCTAAAAAGGACACGGAAGTCCGTCTGAATTTATTTACTCTTTTAGCTAATGTACTGCAAAATTATGCACAAATATCTGATGAAGAAGAGTGTCACCAGGGATCATTTGAAACTTTTGTGACTACGATAGTTCAAGGTAAAATATGCCCGATTTTCATTTAAAAGTAAAAATACTTTAAACTTTAATAACTTTCAATTAGACATTCTCACACCGAACTTGGTATGGCGTGCCGGTAAATCAGCGTCTGCCCTCCGTGCGGCCGCGACATCCTGCCTCCTCACAATTCTTGAAGAAAAACTACTCTCTGTCGAAACATTTGTTGGTCTTGCACCAGCCATTACGACCGGATGTCTGTCTCTGTTGGAAGAAGGATATGAATTGAATCGTCTCTTAGCGGCGCAATGTCTTGGAAGGATGGGGGAGGCTTGTCAGGGTCGATGGGGGATTGATTTAGTCCAAAAGATTTATCCAGGTGGGTCTGATATATTTTAATATATATTTTAATATCTTAAGTACAATACAATTCAATTGTCAATATTCTTTCTTCTCAGAACTTTTGAAACGACTTGACGACGAGAAGGACGATGTCCGCGTCTCTGCAGGGCTCGCAATGTCGCGAATTTTCTCTACTCTTCCCGATCCACTGTCAAAAACGCACATCGACTTTGCTTCTTCCGCTCTGCTCTTGCATTTGGACGACGACGATGAAAATGTTGCAGCCGCTGTTGCCGAAGCCATAAAATCATTGGGATTACTTTCACCTCCTTTCCTAATCGAGAAATGTAACGAGTTCAAAGAGAAACATAAATCCCCACAGAATTGTGAAGATCTCATTGAGTATTTTCAAAGTTTAGAATGTAAGGGAGTGTGAATTTTTCGAGCGATTCTGCTAACTTAGGATTAGTATTAGTAATTAAAAGGTTAGTACTTAAAAGTCAACCACAAAACGTGTCTCAACATTTGAGTGCAATCAAATAATAGCAATTTTATAAATTTTATAAAATAATGCATCTTATTTTTCGAAACATACACTTTCATACACTAGACGCATCATTGGGGCATCCGCAAAAACCAAATGCGGGAGTTGCCGGATCCACATTGACGCATTGGCATTTGACAAACAAATTTTTGTCAAACATTTTCCATTCTTGCATTAAAATTTTAAAATCTCTCTCGAGTTGTTAAACTTATTAGATTATTAAATAAGTCAAGCATAAAATGGAGTCTGAGTCATTTGGCAACTACAGGTAATTTCATATCGAACTGCGCAAGTAACTTTTAAGTTCGAATTTGTGATGAATAATGACAATGACGTAATTCTGCTTTGTTAATTTTTTAGTTTGTTACGTTATCCTCCCGGATATCCTCCTAGGGACCAGACTGACCTGAACATTCGTGATATTAATTCGCTGAAGAAGGTATTACATTAATTACATACGTTCAATTTTTAAATTTCAGTGAGAATTTTTAAATTTTAGTGGCAATTTTATTTTACCAATTTTTTTACTACAGGGAAAATACCTTACGGATCAATGTGTCGACTTTTGGCTGAAATATGTCCAAACAGAAAAATTGAGTCCAGAAATCCAGGAAACTGTGTACACTTACTCGTCCCTGTTCTACACCTCTTTGCTTCGAGGGTCCAGCCTTAACAACAACGGGCCGAATGGACGACGACGCTACTCAAGACGAATCTCGGTTGATATTTTTCAAAAAGATTTCCTAGTGTTTCCGGTAGTTGTTGAGTAAGTCTAATTGATCTTACATTTCAAAATAATTAAAATTCTACTAATAACTATTTAAAAAATTACCTCCAGTGCTCATTGGCAGCTGGTCATTGTTTGTTATGCTGAAAACTCTAATAGCGAACCTCGCTCGAAGCGTCCCAGAACGGTAGAGGGAAAAAATACTGCTGAAGAACCTCCCATGATTATAATTTTGGATTCATACCAGGTCTATAATAAGCCATCCGCTTTTGTTTTAATGGCTGCGATTATTAGATCCTTTCTTACCACGGAATGGAAGGTAAAATGCAAATATGTAGATGGGAACAAGTACCAAATATCAGTACTAACATAATTATTTTTATATGTAGGTACACCGTGGCGAAACAGATTTTGAATTTTCTCCGGAAAATCTTCCCCTCCGAATACCTGACCTTCCACAGCAATCTAATCTCTCTGACTGCGGGGTTTACATACTTCAATTTTTTGAAGGATTCTTCACCAAACCTCCTTCCGTCCCATTGCTAACATTCTTTCAAACTTCGACAGACTGGATTTATTCGTACACCAAGAACGTTGAGACTGACAAGAGAGAACACATCTATCAAACCATTCTGTCCTTGTTGAGAAGTAAACAGCACCAATTATTCCCCAATGCGTGTCGTCTCTTGCCCAAGACCACGTCAGGTCTGCCTGTATCAGAGAGATTTAGTCAAGCCGGTTTTCTTTCCTTATTCGCCAACGAGGTACAAATAACGGCGTCAGAATCTCGAAAAGCGGAAACTACAAAAGTGGTTCAAGACTTTTTTAAAACTTGGAATCAAACAAAATTTCTCAATAACTCGACAAGTACGAATAACAACGTTAAAGAAGATGATTTAGAGTCTGGTCCTGTTGAACTTGAAGCCGCTCAGGCATCGCTTGGTATCGATGTTTCGAAACCATGCACAAAAGTCACTGTACGAATGGCAGATGGTACAAGGTAAATTTAATATCACCGTTTTCTTTCAAAATTGTTAATCAGTCATGTATTGTACAAAATATGCTAAAAAAATACCAACGCATTTTATTTTCACAGATATACGATAACTCTGAACGTTAGTCAACCGGTCTCCACGATTCGCCAATTTATTTGTCAACTACGTCCGTCTCAAGCGTCAAAGATTTTCTCCCTGGTAGCTTCCTACCCTTGTGTTGAAATCAATGAAAGTTTGACGATACAGGATGCAAATTTGAACAATTCAGTCGTCACGCAGCAGATGAAGTGATGTCATTAACTTTTATTTACCCAATCAAGAAAGTTGAATATATAATACTTACGCGAATATTTATATGATTGATTTTTGGAGTATTCGACTCGTATATATTTTTTTAATTTCTTGAAGCATTGCGGATTATTGTAATGTTGTCATTTACTGCTTACTGGTATTTACAACTAGAAATCTACACATTAATCAATGCAACATAATATATTATGTATTGTTCACAATAATATGGATTAATAATATCAAGACCAATTATCAAGTGCCAACAATTAAGTAAATCACAAAAAAGCATTAAAATGTAATGATTCTTTTTTCGCATGACCAATTTTTCACATTGTATAATATAGATATGGCATATAGGTAATTATATTTCTATAATTAACTCGTACTCTTTGTACTACATGGCATTTTTTAATTCCCCGAGTTGTCCTATTGCTTCTTCGATTCTTGGCTGGTTTATAATAATATTTATTAACGCACCATTTCTGGTACAACCTGTTTTGGCTTATTGGCACTGCACTAAATCCGCTAGTATATTTATGTACCACACCAATTTTAGAAGAATTATTTTATGTGCATGCACTACGAATATATTTTCACACATTGACAAGACATACTTTTACATCACAAGATTTCAATTTCCGGCCGGAATAATACTTCGCGTTTTCCTTTCAACTTTAGTATATTATAAAATACATATCTATATTTCTATATATTTATAATTGGCAAGACGGCGTACAGGAAGTTACTGCTACTTACAAAAGCTCATTATAATCTAACCATCTAAAAGATTATTTACCAAACAGAGATAAGTAGCGAAACTGACTGACTTACATTATGCAAGCAATTCATTGATAAATATGCAGCAGTTGGTTTCGTTTAGCTTAAATAATTTCAAGATTTTGAGACTGGAATGCTTCGAAATACTGAAAACAGTTATTTAGAAGAGCAAGCACACGTAAAGGAACTCTGACTCGTTTAGTGAAATGACTTTCCCAGTGATAAGTTCTTGCAGGTACCATAACATTACCATCCCAAGAAAAAGACCAACACCGCCTCCAATTCCAGCGTTCGTCAAGAAAAGGACATATCCAATCTTGTACTTTTCACGCAGCGTGGTCAAGTAAATGAAATGTGCGGAGAGGAAAATGAAGAGAAAGTAGACAAACAGAGCGCTGAACATTCCTCGTCCCAAGACATTCATCTAGCATGTTTTAAAAAACGTATTAGCTAACAATTTAATATATAAGATCATTAACATTTGACAAATCTTGTCAACTGACCTCAAAAACAGTTGTCATCAAGCAAATTCCCAAACAGATCAAGCAAACCGTGGCGACAGCCAGGAAGACGATGTAACGGTACGGGTAAACACAATCGTAGGTGATCAGCGTCCCACAGAATACGGCAATCGAAAAAGTCTAATCAACAAAAATTTTGAGAAATTACCAACAAACTTTTTAAATATGATTTACTAACCTTGATAACATTTAAGAAAAGTCCGGCACAGCATCCGCGACCTGCACCAGCACATCTCGCCGCCCCGTAAATTACCAGGACAAGAATCCTATGTAAATAGTACATATTTCCATTTTACGCCTGATTTAACTTTAAATAGCCAATCTAAAATGCATAGTGAAAACTACAACTCACGCTGCTGGAAATATGACCCAGTTGTACGGTTTCAACTCTTCAGCAGTGACCAAGAGATCGAACTTCCTAATTTCACAATTACAAAATTCTTCTCAATCCCATTTAAATTAATTATTAATATTTCTTACAATTGGTTTTCCGCATCTGCAGCGAGATCATACACTATGAACGCGATGGATGTTACCTCCACCAATTTGATTACAAATGCCAACGCCACAAATACGCAGCGAGTCCGTTCATCCCTGAATTTCTGACTGAGATCAATACTTGGTGACCCACAGCACTGAAATAGATATAAAATGGAAAATAATTAGCCAGAATATCGAGCTAGAGATTCATATATATTTTTTAATTACATAGCTCATCTGTGGCTTGATATACTCGTCGTCGTCATAATCAGCCGGGTTAAGACGATCGTTTTCCATCGCTAAATGAGAAATTTGGGAAGGTATTGTGCCAAAAAGGGGCTAATAAATTGTGAAAAAGTAGAGGCGAAATAAAATTAGGAAGGAGAGAAAGTTCGTGCCAGGAGGAAAGTCAGCAGGAAAGTGATGGCGTTTCAGCGAGAGAAAGTTGTTGATATTTATATCGTGGAGAAAGCAGAAGCAACCGACTTCCGATATTTGGAGCTTCGGTGTTCACTATCTTTCCCTTTCTCGGATCGGGCAGACTCCGAGTAGATTTCATAACCTACGAGAGAAAGCCATGATGAAAGAAGAAGCTGCAGGTAAAGTCATGCGAAATTGGGGAGAAAGAAATCTCATTTTCTCAAATTGCCCCAAGATGAGATTGTAGTATTGATATGCGTAACTCTAGGATCGAATCTATGTACCTAAACCTGCGACATATTATACTTATCAAAATGCATGAAAATGTAATCATGCCATATCAACAGATGTGCATTCTTCAGATATTATTATCCCAACAGATCATCCTCATGAACAGAATGGAACTGCATTCACGAATATGAGATACGAATGCACATTTGCACCTAAATTGATTTCACAATAACAATTCATGACCTTGTGTCAGATTATCTGTACAAATTAAAGAAACTTTGAAAATACAAAATGATGTGTGGGTTACAATACAGATTCTTTGTGTAGTTTTGCAATTACTTGTTCACACCAAGCATTAATTAAGATGCTATTGGTCATAAAATCTGCATATTTAGTCAACATAACTTGAGACATGTGCATAAAAGCAGTGTATGTACTTTAAATCTTTAAGAAAAATTGAGACTGACTAGCGAATAATTCTGCCACGTGTATTGTATTTTTCTATTCTCATTAACACGCAGATTTCAAGCTCAAAAAGTACCCACCTTGTGATTAATTGCACTTTAATAAAGGTCACATATTTTACCTTACTTCATCAGGAGCGGATAACCATTAATGATATATTTATTGAAATCATGGCATCGAGGCATACAAATATCTCATAATATTTACTAATCCTGATGCATATAAAGAGACAATTAATTCATTATTTTATGTACTACGATTCATGTACCACGATTCGATTCATGAATATGAATGAGTCATCAATGTTTTTATCAAATATTTATATGTGTCACAAATAGGAAGCAATTCAAATTGCTGGCAACCTAGGTTAGTGAGATTGGGCGGAATTATAATTAAGGCTATCGATGAGATTCTCCTATAAAACTTGTGAGAAATATGAGACCTACTTATGAATTAGTGCAGACAAGTCAAGTTGCTTTTTGCATTTACTTGTCGAGACATTTTTCTCAATTTTTTCCAAATCCATCAACAGTTTTTTGTCGATTTTCAAAAATGAAGTGCTCCCTTTTTCTCACGATAAGTCCCATAATAATTTTGGCAATATCGGTTTGGTCCGCTTCTTGCCTGGAAGTCAGAGTGCAATCCTCCCTTGAAAAAGACCTCACTGTTACGTCACAACAAAAGAAAATCTTGGATAAGGTGAAGTCCAAGTTTACAAATAAATAATTGTGTAATGATAAGTTGACTTATGTCCCTAATTTCAAATCAGTTCCGGAAACGAGTCCAGCATCGTCTCACTAACGAGTTCATGAAGCATGATTTGTACCTTATCAGATATCTGCGAGGTAATGAGTGATAATCTTTCCCTCTGTTTAACACATATATGTACAACGTTTCATAATTAATTAATTATCACAGCAAAAAATTTCGATATCCGAAACGCCGAAGAAATGTTAGTCACTGTAAGTAAAAAAATATATTAATTTAGGTACATGAAAAATTACTTAACCGTTATTTATTTTAAAAAATTTCAGAGTTTAGCGTGGAGAAAACAGAACCGCATCGACACCATTCATGACGAGGATTGGACCAAGTTTAAGAAACAATATCCGTACTATCTTTCCCAGTACGATAAGGAAGGAAAACCAGGTACTTATCCATTTCAGATAAGTCGCATCTAACATAATACTTATTTGTTCTCCTTCAATTTGAAAGTGCTCTATCTTCATCCTGCCGCTTGGGATTTGCGAAAGATTGCGATATCCAATGACGCCAAACAATTCCAACGGTAGCTAGATAGACAATTGTGCTTACTTTTCGTTACAATTTCAATAAAAAGTGCTGATTATTTTCTATTCAAGCTATATCGACAAAGCCATCGACGAATCCTGGCTTAAGGTCTACGAATATCAATCAAAATACGAAAACGTAACACAGGTGAATAATGTGCATGCAAAAAACAAGAAAATTTACCAGCAAATTCTCGAATTTTTCTCATTTTTTTGACATTTTCAGGGAGTGCTGCTCGTCAATATGAAAGGTTATAACGTCGTGCAACACGCCTGTCTGCAATGTATTCCCATAATCCTTCGCGGAATTTTGACCTATGAGCGATACTATCCCGGACTGGCGCATAAAATATTCCTGATTAATAGTAAGCAAACCAGTTTTTTGCTAATTAACTTCAAGAATCATAAGAAGATTAATATCTTTTGTTTTTGTCACCGTCCATGAAGCACCTTCCACTTTTGAGCCATTGCTACAAGTCATCCGTGGCGCGTTGAGCCCACCCACAGAAAAAGCGTTGCTAATCTACGGCATGAGCAAAGGAGAATGGAGCCCCATTCTGCAAAAGTATTTCGACATGGACCAAATCCCAGAAGAGCTTGGGGGCACTTTTCAAACGGAGGTTGATGATTATTAATTAGAGGGGAAGATTTTGTACGTCTTTTTTTAAATTCTGGATAAATAAAATTAAGAGCTTCAATAAAGACATGCATTTTTATTGAGCATTAATCAGTAACTAATTTTCCCGTGTTACTTGTTTCGTTTCATCAGATAAAAATTTACCTACAACATGTTGTGTATAAAGGAAAATTATAAAGCACATGCTTATTTTTCTATTGTTGCACATATAAGTACGTCATATAAAAATTCAATCCGTCTAAAAACTCCTCAGTCCAAGCAGTCACTGGATAATAAACTCGTGCATATTATCCTCATTTTTTTACTAGGAAGATCACACGGTCTGGCTTGTTTTCTCATACATGCCTACGTATGCATATGCAAGAGTGGTCTTGCATAATGCACCCACTATCCACCTCGTTCGATTTATGCGACAGATAATTTGGTCAACTTATAAGTCAAGTAAATAAGTCTTGATAGAGACACTACACAGAAATACCTAAATTATGGCTTTAAACAACAAGTCGTCATTACTCAGGATCAGTAAATAAGTGAGTATGAGTTTATTTTTTACTGAATTTCTACACAATGGAAATACCGATATGTATGGATAATATAGAAACTTTACTAATTACGTAGTCTTGTTCGCAGGTCGTGTTTACCTATCATCATGAAATAGTTGTCTGGTCGGTTTTTAGCATGTTTTTTGATCAAGCAACACTAACCAGAAGAACAAGACCGACCAATACCAAGTAATAATTTTTGGGTATGCCCAAGTTGCAATTACTCCTTGCTTCGACTTCAGTCATGATCCAGGGTGCATTTAGGCAAGAGTAGTTCTTCTGATAAGTCATAAGTGTCCCATTTCATATCAAAAATGAGAAAAATTCCACACTGGAGAATTTGCTGCTCAATTTCCTTGCTTCTTGCATGCACATTATTCACGTGTGTTGTTGATGTTTGTCATGCAAAAAGACGCACAACGTTTGATAGGGATATCACCTTATCGACTGAACAAAAAGCCACCTTAGATAAGGCATGCACAGAAATCGTTTGTAATTCTCTGATCATGATTTTGAAAGTTTGTTAATTGATAATTATACATAATTTTTTCCAGTTTAAAGCTCTAGTTGTAGATCGAGTTCCGCACAACTACATGAAAGAAGACATTTACCTACTAAAATTCTTGAGATGTGAGCGTAAAATAAATAATAAATACATCAAAAACTAGATTGTCTCTAAATAAAACCTTTAATTTTCTCTACAACTAATTTTGTACAGATAAGAACTTTGATATTCCAGAAGCAGAGAAATTTTTGATGCAGGTGCACAAATATACTGGAAATTTGAGACTCTCTACATTGCTTAAAATGATCTAATCATCAATCATTTTCTTTTCAGGTTCTACAATGGCGTAAAGAAAACAAAATGGATACGATTGGAGAAGAAGATTGGTCCGACATGAAACAGAAATTCATGTATAATCTCCAGATGAGAGATCGAGATGGTGAACCAGGTGTCCAGAAAAAAACAAAGCAAAATAACCCTTATCTAATTTAAAATAACAAAAATATTGATAAATGAAGTGCTTTATTTCAACGTGGAGTCTATGGACCTAAGACAAACCGTGATCCAAGGCGGTGATCGTCGGTTTCTGCGCTATGTGGATGGTGCTTTGGAGGAATCATGCGGCTTGGTGAGGACGCTGGGCGAAAAGTATCAAAATGTGACAAGGTTTGAGATAGATTAATCATATTTAGGTAGAGTTTATTGGCTGGCTAAAAGCAATGCCAATCACCAAGGATCACTTAGTGATTGCCATTGCTTTTAGCAGGCAAAGACATATACCTTACCTATGATAATAATCTGTCTCGTAAAGGGGTCACCTCATCGTTAACGGGAAGGGCTATAATTTGATACAACATGGCTGTTTGCGATGTAATTTTTTATTGCACAATTTAAATTAAGGTTTATAAATGAAAATTGGTGATAAGTTTGTCATCCTATTCAGGCATCCCATCCCTTCTGAGAATTGTTCTTAGTTACGAGCAACATTGGCCGGAATGTGTGGATCGTATATTAGTTTTAAACGGTATTTACTCACATAGATAATTGTTCAACATTCAGATAATTATAAATTGTTGGATCGCTATTTTTAAGCTCCTGGAATATTTGTTCCACTACTCGACGCTATAAAACCTCTGCTCAGTCCGAGTACGAGCCAGGCGTTAACAGTGTTAGGGCCGAACAAAAAGACAAATTTGGAAGCTCTCTTAAAATTCATGGATATTGATGAAATTCCAGTGGAATTTGGTGGACGGAAAATTCTGGACAATTCTCAGAGTGATTACGATGAGAATTTTACGTACTGAATTTGCACATTTTTTATCTAAAATCTGAGAATTTTAATTTCTTCCCATGCAACTGATAATTACACATGTCTCCACACACTTACATACATGTGTACGTACATATTAATGTACATAGGTATGAAACACGTTTTCTCAGTAAAATCATTTACATGCAATTTACATTAGTATAGTTTTTCTGTAAGGGCATTAATAATTGGGCTGCTGGATGGTTAATTATTCTCTTTTTATTATATTTATGTCTTACTTTACATGAATAAATAACATTTACAATTATTTATAAGGTTTACACTTAAGTTGAAGTAAGTGATGAACAAGATGCGAATAGACTTTTTTTAATAGTAAATGCATATACGATTCTGTGCATGGAATTTGCAATATATACATATCAACAATTTACGAGAATAATACAATGCAATTAATTGTACATACTTCACACGTACAGTCAATGGAAAAAGTATTGGCAACACCCACGCAAGCTAAATAAAATTGGTTATAACTTTGGCATGCGTTATCAAATTGGCATGAAACTTTGAACACATTTGATAAATCTAATGTAGTGTTCGATTATAATCGTGTTTCCGATTTAAATCTAGTAAACATAACGCAATCCAAATTTTGACCCTAACTAGTCAGGTACGAACCTGCAAAAAGTATTGGCAACATGTGGCTAAATTAGTTACTCGACACAATTTTCTTAACCATCTTCCACATTTCGTTACGGTAAGGTAATTAAGTGACAAAATATAACGTTAGCGACATTTTAAGTCTACAGTTGTGCTGTCTGGAGCCAAAATGGCGGCACTAAACCAGCTGTATTTGGCGCGGCGAGAAATATTCATGCCTCTTCCATAAAAATGCTTTGTTATCCAAAAATCAAAGAGAAAACATACTTTTCCATATTCACTATTGAAAACGTAGCAAAGAAATATAAAATGACGATCTCAGTTTCTACTTTTCGACGATGCGGAGGAAAAAGGTCACCTACGCCCAAAATCTACTGATGAATCAAGCAACAAATCATTCGAGATCGGAAGATTTTAGCCCCCAAATCCATGTTGAATTGCAGTACCAACTGTGGGGCAAACATATCATTCAATTTGGTGTTCACTAAAAAATTATGCGTTGGGGTTTCAGGCTCCAGTAGCCCGACCGACGAGAGAGTCCCCAAAGCGAACCACCTCAATAAATTGGGATGGGCTAAATATAAGCCTCAATTGACTTCCAATGAATGAAATAAAGTCTACTGGTACGACATAGGCATATTTTACTTATTCGGAGCTCATTAATTGGTTCAAGTCTGGCGGATGCCATAAAAGGCTCAGAAATACGAAAACGTTCGTATGGCAGTTTAACACATAGGAGGATCGATTATGGTTTGGGGTTAAATGACTAGGTGGCGGCGTGTTTACCTGGTCATTATCGATAAAATCATGACCAGGGAGGTCTAATTAATCATTCCAAACGATAATTTGAAATTATTTGATAAAAACCTGATCTGGGGAGGAATTTTATATTCCAAAAATGCAGTGACCCAAAACAGCTACCCCAATTTACGATGCAAGTTTTTGGAGACCGAAAAGGTTAAGCTTCTTTCGTTGGCTGCACAGTTACCTGATGTCATTCTGATTGTTTGGGCTGCGAAAAGAGAGACCGGTGGGAAACCACTCGACGAAAAACGAGCTTGTCAAAAGTTCGAAACAAGTGTGGCCAACCATATAAAAAAACGTTATAAAGAACCTTGTCGAATCAATTCCATGGCATATTTCTGCTCTTATTGCGTCGAGGGGATGTGCCACGTAATACTAGAAGCAGTGTGTCGCAGTAAAATTGTCCTTTCTTTGTTCTATGATTTTTTTAAGTTAGAAGGTGCCAATACTTTTTGCGGGTTAATTTTGCAAATTTTCCAGCAAATTATTTAAAAACTGCGTTAATATAATTTTGAGCAGTAAAACATGATTATAATCGAAAACAACATTAAATTAACTAAATGCGTACAAATTTTCATGCTAATTCGATAATGCATGCCAAAGTTATAGCCAATTTTATTTAACTTGCGTGGGTGTTGCCAATACTTGTTCCATTGACTGTATTGTTCATTATTGCACCATATCAGTTATATTATCTAAGTGATCATTGTCTTGTCACATCGTACTTATCTGAATTAGATATTGCCCATCATTTTCTGTGTCATTTTATCTCATCTCACCAAAAATGTCTTCCACTTTTGCATCTTTAGAGAAGAAGGCCTCTCGGATTTAAAACAATTTCGTCCTCTTTCATCGACTTTTTCTGATTTTTTACATTCTCCCCAGCGCCACTTTCTCCAGAGGAAAGTAGAGCTGGCGGAGTTGCCGACTTCTTTTTAATGGATGCCGGAGTCATATTTTGTATTATGGCGTCCACGTCTGACAAGGGCTCGACCTGCATTATTTTCCTGACTTCCTGGTTCAAAGCAGTGTCAGATTTTCTCCACTTTCTCTGCGGGTCAAAGTCATCCTCGTCCGAGCTGGCTTCTAAAATTTCAAATTTTTATGATTAAATGGTCATAATTTTCACTGCTTTGGTTTCGTTTACCGATATAGTTTGGTATCGTGGATCGTGGCCGGACAGATTTTTTGGACGATTGCAACGTTACTCGCGGCGATGGGATGATTTTCGGCGTGGATTGTGAATTGTTCTCGTGTTTATTATTCTTTTCGCCATCTTCATTTTCCTCCCCGCTATTTGCCCCCTTTTTCGTCTTACTTCGTGAATTCCTGCTTTTTCCACTAGAATGTTTACTGTCCCCTTTCTCCATTAAACTTGTCTTCTCTTTGTCTCCCAACTTTTTCCTTCTTGGGAAAAGCATGATTAGTTTCAATTAATTATAAATATGAAAAATTACAATACCTAAATGCCATCGGTATGACAAACAGGTTGGGAAATGTGCACTGAATAACTTTCAAAACGATACAAGTTAATCCAATGATGCAGAGAATTGGGCCGATAAGCTTAAGTTGTAATGTCTTGAATCCTAACAAAATGATTCAATGAACATGAAAACATGTAACATGTGAACATGTGAACATGATTCAATTTGCAATTTTTTGCGAATAAATTATGAAAACCAACCCTTTTCTCCAAGGCCCACGAACGTAATGACTATTCCTATGCATACTGTGGACGACACAAAATATAAATATTGACACAATTTTAGTTGGTTAAAATTTTCAACTTGAAAATAAATTTTGAATCAAGACTTTTACTTAATATGAGACCGATATAAATTGCCGAGTACGCATTGCTTAATCCCCCTTTTCCAGAATCTTCATCATCATTATACGAGATTTGACTCAGGGCATCGAAACTTTGCTGTTCAAATGAATCAATAAAATCCAATAAATATCGACTTGGTCACATTAATTATTCTGAGAAAACAAAATTACCCAATATTTACTAACCTTCGATTTTTGATGAAGTAACTCTTTCCCAATGAGAATTTTTTTAATCGTTTCATGCGCCGCTTTTGCCTTCATTGCTTCCTCCGCTTCTTTTCCGGTCAACTGCACACATTTAACTTTGAATTAGTCTCACTCACCCAAATCACATGCACGCACTTATCAAGAAGACAAAGAGATGATGAAGAAGATATTGAAAAACCCATGCCACCAAAAAAGCGTTACTTTGTGACAACACCACCATAACAATCTGGAGGAAAAAAGTGGATAATAACGTGTTTTGAAAGTTGAAGCGTTGTTATTTTATCATGCAAATACATACGACACGACATTTTAAAGGTGTGCATGCAGGCGATAAGGATCGATTGTGTGGACATGTTTTTTTTACCCATTTTGGGGGAAATTGGGGGAAAGGTTTGATCGTGATGTTGGCTCTGTGGGGTTGTAATTCGGAGCGATCCAAAGGACGCCGCTGTTGCTGTTGACCCTTCCGCTTGCTCCCTTGCTTCCGGTTCAACATGGACCCAATTACGGCCGCCATGACTTTTCAGTTTGTGTATTATAATTTGTATGTATGCACAAAAGCGTTGACAAGGCGGACACAACAATAGAGGAGGAATATTAGAGGATAAATACTTATTGCTTATTTGCGACTACCTACGACAGACACGCTACAGGTAGGAGGAGGTAACAACCAGGCACTACAAAACAACACTTTTTTTTACTTGGCTGCTATTACAGTACTGCTATAACATCATCATCTATAAACTACAATAACAAAACATGGAATGATGTTTAGTGTTTAATTGATTCGCACGGTTACATATTTATTTCCACTAAGTATACAAGCTAAAAGATAAGTTCATACCTCGGAAAGTGCCACAGGATCGGCCAACTTTTCCTTCATCTGTTCCAATTCTCTTCTCCGGTCCCGTTTTTTACGGGTCATCAGGGCTGCTAAACCAGCCATCTTTGCAAATCTGTTGAATGTAAAATAGTACATTTAATTTAAGAAAGTCACAATTTTTGATAAATTTTTGGCGAACAAATTCTTACTTTTTTTCAGAAGCTTATAAAAGTAAACCAACTTTTATGAACAAGTATAGAATAAATAGAAAGTGACCGTATCACACCGTGCAGGTTACCAGTTACCACATGTCAAAAAAATTAGCCTGCCTGGTTAAACCCGGCACAAATCACTAACTGACCGTGGCAGAAACGGAACAATGAAAACATGCTAATTTCCTCGCAATGTGGTCCCGTTCGAGAAAACACGTCAGTGAAACCTCCTGAAGAGAAAGTCAAGTTTCGCTCAGGGAGTTTGGAGTGCGAGTGTAAATCTGGGCCAGTGGTGCATACCGATATAACAGCGTCCAAAAGGAGGCGTCATGAAAATGGTGAAATAAAAACATTTTGTATGATTCATGCAAAATTTTCATGCAAATTATTTATTTGATTAATTTTTGCACATATAAAATTAAAGTTAATTATAGTACTTTTTAAACGAATCTTTTATTACTTCTTCACAAAGTTCACAATTTACTCAATTTTTGCAATATCCTAATAATCATAAGTTTTTCCACCACAATTAAACTTTCTCCCCTTGTAATCTATGCATCATTCCATTCCTCATCAATTTTCTTTACTTCACTTCACGGGCATCATCGCACGGATGTTTTTGCCCTGTACTTATAAGAATACATACGCGACAAGGTGAAAGTTTTGACTTTATACAGTCATCGTTTTACTTGAGGAGTGAGTGGGTGCAAAAATTTGCCAACTGGCGAAAAGGCATACATATGTACGTAGTAGTCATGACGATGCGATATATAAACAAGAAGCGCAGAGGTGGCCAATAAGTTTGCTTAGAGTTTACAATTTGCTTTTGGAAGCCAATAATAAACGTGCCTAAAAGTAAAACTAACCCAGCCAGCCGAGGAAGAAAACAGCCACTGCAATTTCTCGGATGGGATATGGCCCACTAAATTTGCAGTGTTCGATGGTGTGGCGAAAGGAAGCCACCACAAACAAAGCGTGTTCTAGGCAGCCACCTACATCAGAGAAAGTCGGAACAAAATTCCATCTCAGGCATAAAAACCTGTCTGAGGTGGACGAATAAACTACTCAAATTACAACTTTCTCCTACTTGAAAGACTGTATTATGAATGTCCTCGCAGTCGGTTTATGACGATGCGGTGTGTGGTTTGGTTGGTTACTTTGCATGAAATAAAATGGAACCGATTTTCTGCACGCGAAGGAAACCTTAGGCATTGTTCTCGTATAAGAAATAAATATGTGGTTGAATGATCAGCCTAATAAAAATCTCACCTTTTGCATATATGCGAATAAAATTGAGTGATTACATTACCACCCCGCACGATAGCCTTGACCTTATTGTACCCGTGGTACATATTCAATCAATCTTTTTTTCTAAGCATATGCATCAAAATCAATGAGAGAGAATGTTGAATGTATATCCTCTCAAATATTTATAGCAGGAGACGCATGGATTAAAAAATATCGGGACAACGTGACCAATCCGATTTATTTTTGCACTCCCAATATTCACCGTTGTAAATATGCATATTTTTTCCGGTTACTTGATCTTTCGCTACGGAGAACCAGGCAGGTTTATAGCCGGGTTCGCCACCGTCGTCGTCAACTGGAATATGCATAATTATATTCAGATTTTGTACTAAATTTGATTTAAATGGCATGTTTAATTAATGTGGCTATATTTACGGTCATCGGGTGGTTTGCTGACGGCCGTGACAAGCGTGGACTTTGACTTTGAAGAATTCGTCATATTCTGAAGTCTGATTTTCCTCGCCGTCCGTTGTTTCTCTTCTATTCGTAACTTTTCTAGATTGGCTTCGTCAAAGTATCCGTTTTCCATGAGGCGTTGATCTGGCCTGTTACGACTGTCGGTGGGAGCCACACCTTCCTCCATTTCATTTAGTTGGCAGGCGAGCAGTGTGAAATTATAGTATTTATCCGAGTCAGATCTGTACATACAACATACGGAATAATACTCGGATGGTCCTAAAAATTGCGTAATTTGTTACGTACGGAGGCATGACTCTGCTCCAAAGTAATTTTGCCGGCCCAAGTGTAAAGCTACCTTTAGAATCTATTTTGAGTATTTCAAACGACTCAATTTTACTATCCCAAGTACCAGCGATGCATAATTTGGGCTGTTTGACCGAATCGTAGATGGTCCCTTCAACCTGCAGAAAAATATATATGTGCAAAGTTATTAGTCTGTCTCATTTTCTTAATTATGTAATTTAGCAATCGTACTCGCTTAGCTTCTCCCTTAAAGAAAGAGGATGGATTATACTTTATGTGACAAATTTCCCCCGTGCTGTGATTATAAATATCCATTTCGCCCTCTTGATCAATCCACAACTTTCCAAACATAATGTTATGCACAATGCTGGGAACTTTGCGCCACGTATAGTGCGTTCCTGTATAAAAATCACACATAAGAACGATGAGAATTTTCAGGATGATATTTATCAATACCTGTTTTAGGGAATAAAAGATGTGCCAATCCCAGTGGCGTGATTTCAATAGAATTTCCCCGAAACCTCGAACTCATCGAGAACTGCTGCCAGCACACCCACTTTCGACCTTGACAGTGCTGCGCGACGAGGGGCGGGTGATGACTGACCTGCTCACTGATACATCGCCATCCCAAGTCTTCGATGCGGTCAGATTCGAATGTTTCGCCGAGAAGAGGATTGAACGGTTTTCCCGTCCGTAGGGCGGATGTCGCGTAAGAAGAAACCGTGTAGGCTGCGATGTACGCCATTTGTTCGAAGGGATCGGACGTATCGGCCGCTTTGTCGATCAAGGCGCTGTACTCGTAGTCCTCATTTAATCTCTGCAGAATTAATTACTTTTTGGTTCTCGATTAATTGAATATGAGATTAACAACATCATTAAATGCGAATAATTTTAACCTGAAGCATGGACAAGGGTTCGTTAAAGTTGACGGGGAGGGGAAGTTTGGTCAGGTCTTTGCCGATGGCGTTCTTTATAAGGGACCATAAACTCATGGAGACCTTAAAAATGTATGAAAAATAGTTATAAATAAGATCAATCAGTAGTTTCATGAATGTACAGAATCTCACATCGGGACGATTTGGTATCCGTATTCTCCTCGATTGATTTAACGATCGGACCATCACAGTGATGGAAAAGGGGTCAAACTGTTCACCCCCAAAACAGTCAGCTGAAACGTCATTCTCGGATGTCGACTCCATGTCGTTGGCCGATTGATTTCGCACCGTAAAGCCTCCCCGTTCACTATACGATCGCAACAAGGCAGTGTCGTCTTGGTCTTTTTTTCGTCTTCTTCGACAACAACAGCAGCACAGAAATCTTCGCATCTGAAATAATACGGGTTGTCATTTTGTTGTAATTATGTAGTTTAATTATGCAAACGTACCCGTTTCGACCGCACTTTGACGCTCAACTGTTGATGATATGGAAATGGTAGTGGAGCCGTGCCATCGTCTTTCTGCAGATGCATAACATTCGTACATGTAAGTAAGCATGCACGCATTATTAAATCCCGTTTAGGTTAGATCATGGCTTAATTTCTTTCGCAAACAAGACTGTACTAATTGAATTAGGGATTTGCGAATATAGAAGACTGCTGACCTTGGTGGAAGAAGTGGTAGTTTCCACTGTGTAATTGCTCACGCGTTCGTTCTCAATACTTGGTGGGCTGATCTCAACGACCTCGGTCATCTTGATGTGATTGAGTGATGTGCTCGTCACTGGTGTAGCGACGATCTGAATTGTCCATGAAAATAATGCATGAAAATGTGTATTTTTGCCTTTGATATTTAGTTTAATTGAATAAATAAGAGATACCTGTTTCGACATAGTATAACTAATGTTATGCAATACTAATAGTTATTTCCTCTCTGTTTTTAAAAGATTTCATGAGAAAACTTTTCATTTGTTCGGGTGAAAGCTGCAAGTTTGTGGGGCAACAAATCTAATTCCGTGACGCTTTATCGCTCTATAAGACCCAATTGCTACAAAAAGTCAATAGTTTACGAAAAGATTTGTTAGAGGGTAAAGAAATTTTAACGCGAACACATGCATGAGAAGGTCATATTCATTAGAGGGTACCATTTTCCATGACATTCGATGTCATTAAATTTAATTGTGCTTAATTTAATTGTGCTTTCTACCCCCACACCTCCATGGTAATGATACAGGGATCCTCTGGTATGGTATACACTTCCGATTACGGAGTTCCGAGCCCTTCAAAAAGGTGACCCCATTGACTGACATATTTTTTATTCCATACTTTCACCAACTTTCACTTTTGTGTCAGATTTTGATTTACAATTTATTCTGTATTTTTAAAGTCATGATGTCACTCGTAAATATACAAATATATTCATGCGTACAAATTGATGTGGAATTTGAATAAATTATGACTTGTAAAACGGAGCAAAGCTTTCAATGGTGAGTCCCTCCTCCTCTTGCGCACCCTTATTGTCCTTGACCGCTGTCGCTCCAACTTGTGTCTTGGATATGCTAATCCCCGCATTACCTTGTTGTCCATCCATCTCTGGCGTGTAGGGTCGAATAAGAACATTTTGATGCAACGAGTCCGGCCCAGGAACATGCAGTGGCATTAACTGAGACGGTTTCAAAGCTCGTATTCCACTCTTTTTGTTCTTAACCTTGGTAGAATTATTGCTGCTTCCAGCATTCTTGGTCCATTCCGATCCTTGCAGCGTTCCACCAACGGGAACAGCACTACTAACCCCAGCAGATCGTGACGACATGACTCTGGCCTCGGATTGGGATCCAAGGTACGTGTATGGACAAAAGTTGGGGTCTTGAGAACTGTTGGCAAGCAGTTTTAAAACTTTCTTTACTTCAACGCGAGACAAATTCATCCACTGCTTGCCACCGGGACCTCTGAGGTGTTGTTGCGCCAGACTCTCAACAAGTTCAGGGTTAAGGTCGTAAACCCACTTCAAGTTTGTGTAGCCTTCAATGAGACGTTCCATTTGTTCCACTTGGAATCTAAGAGAATTTTGGTTCTAAAATACAGGTTACAATATAATACAAAATTGTATATCCAACCTGCGACTGAAACCTCGAACTCTGACCTCATCAAGTAGCCTCGTGTCTATCTGTACGTCCATCAAATTGTTGATCAGTGCCTTCCTATAGGACGAGAACCTATTTAGCGTCTGCGCCTGCGCAATCCCTTTGTCACGATGGGACTTATTGACACTCCGTTTGGGTCCGATGACTGGAAATTTGGCAAGAACGCGGCCATCATATTCTGAAATGACCTTCTGTTCCCAGGTCACTTGTCTTTCATGGCGCCGACAACGTTGAGCGAGTGAAATCTTTGCCCCCGTTCGTGGATCGGTTTGGAGTTCTTCAAGGAATTTGTCCTCGCTCGGGCGTCGCTTTACAGGACCCCAATATTCCCAGGACTTATCGCCTTGGCTGTACTCCCAGATGCGTTGCTGGCAGGGGATGTAGCTCAACCAAAATTCTTTCTGTGAGTGGTTTCGAAAATTTTATGGGTATTTTTTAAACGGAGCATATCAATATTTTTGAAAGTAGGAACCTCAAAAGACCATTCTTTAGCCTGTTGAATCGTTGGAAATGTGGTTGCCACTGATTTGGACCGACCGACAGAAGTGAGACAATTGTCAGTGAGGCGTTTCTCCTGAGCCCTCTTGCGCCACATTTCTTCCCCCAAGAGTAATTCATCACCTTGGATGGAAATCGAGTTGAGGATTGATTCCAGACGTTTTTGGTCCAATGGGTCAACAATTGGTGGGGGTTTGGGTGGTGCACACTTGATCTTGCTGGATACCCGAATCGATCTCTGCTTGCTAGGGGCAGCAGATGGCTTCTTCTTCGGGGGGAACAAAATTGTCTGAATTGACACTGACATGATGAATTATTTTCGGCAATAATGATAATCATAGGCAATATTTTTGTTGGCAATCTTTATCCTCACAAATAAGTCTTTGGCCCCACTTTCGAACTCATGGTAACTTGTACCGCAAACACATCAATATTATTTGACACTTTATCAGTCTCTACACAAGATTATTTGACACTTTATCAATCTATAAGGTTACGACAAATGGCCGAGTTACAAAATAAATTTTCATTTTTAGAAAACTAAAAATTGTTGAAAATATGCCATTGGTTACAGTTTTGGAAATGTAATTTTGTAACCGTCATGTCCGTCTGTCTGTCCGTCTGTCTGTCCGTCCGATCATTTTACGATAACTTTCGTTAAACTCGGCCTAGCGACTTTAAATTTGGTATACATGTAGTATGTGACAAATGAGGAGTTAAGTTTGAAGATGGGCGAAATCAATTAAGTGGTTGACCTGTGGTGGTCATCTGGGTGGGTGGAGTATTTCAAAATCCTCGTTGAAAGCTGTAAACTGGCATTGAGATTGCTAATGGTGTCTAATTGAAGAATATGAATTTAAATTGGGAAAATTTCCGACTGGAGGGACCCGATACCATACCGATTTTTGAAAATTATCCATCGAGCTGAAATTAGTGCAGAGATTGCTAATGGCCCCTGATGAAAGAATATGAATTGAAATTGGACCTTTAAGGGGGTGACCCATATCGATTTTCAAAAATTGTATTAAAAAGATGAAATTAGACACTCGTAGAAGACTGAAATTTGGCACGACCCCGTGGGGGTAGACCAGATTGAAAAATATGAACTAAATATTAAGATTTTTTCCACAGAGATTTAACAAGGTGACCCACATTGCTTTTTATATTGGTAGAATAAAAATAAAATTCGGTATCATGGGTAAGGGCACATCAGACTAAAGAATATGAATAATGTTCATATTCATCGAATATGAATATTTTTGTGGGCCCAGCCCAGAAGACTGAGACCCGTACTGGTTTTAAAATTGGTCAAGGAGCTGAAATTTTGCATGCTGGATTGTGGGAACATTTTTGCCGATTACGAATAGTAGTTGGTGCAGGTCGTCTGACTAAAGTTTAGAAGCTGACACTGACCCTAACTCGGGCTAAACAAACGCTGCACACTGGGATTTCAAATTTAATTTTCGAAATAGTACCCTCGAGATTTTGATCTTAAAAAATCAAGCTAAAAATTACGATGATTTCATCTTAACGAATTAAATCTCTATGTCTGCCCATTCAAAAGTTATTAAAGGTCAAAGTCGTTGGTACACACGACCATGGGACGTGTACCAACGATTTAAAAAATAATTATTTTATTTGTAACTCCACCATTTGTCGCAACCGTTAAAAGACACAAGAGTTACCTAGATACTAAATGTCAAGCAATCGTGGTCTCTACATGTTACGACAAATGAATTGTTTCCAACACAAATTTTCATTTTTGAAGAAATTAAATTTTAATTATTATGTACTGAAAAAATAGTGTGAGTGGACCGTTGCTAAGTTGGAAGATTGAGATGACCCCCTAGGTCAAATCCGGGTCAGGTGATCTCACACTCTCCAGTGGGGTGTCAATAGATCGGTCTAGATCGTACGATCACTTTGGTATATTATAGAATTTTGTGAGATAAGAATTGGCTGTGAAATTCCTGAAAAACTTATATTTTGGAGATATTGTTCAAAATAAACGTTTTAGTTTTCCGAAATAGTACACTCGAGATTTTTAGCTTAAAAAATCAAGTTAAAAATTAGGATGATTTCATCCTCAGGAATTAAGTCTCTATGTCTGCCTGTTCAAAAGTTATTCAAGGTTAAAGTCGTTGGGCCCGACAAGGGGACTTCGGGCCCAAAGATTTAAAACCTACAATGCAGACTCCATATAGAGGGACAGAGTCCCTGACTCCGTGAATCAGATTTCTAAATTTTTCTCCGAAAAGTGAAGAGGCCCCCCGCAAAAGTGATACGCCAGGACCACCTCCTCAACTCCCACAAGATAAGCGAAAGTCATCATCTCCACCCGCACATGAACACCCAATAGAACCCCTTGTCCATTCTCCGGGACACTCTCGAGTATCATCATCATCATCAGATACATCTGACCAGGACGATGTCCCACCTACCAGAAACTCGACTGGTCAGCCCCCAGTTCGGACATCAGTTGGAACAGGAGAGAAAAAGATGTCGTCGGGAGATCCAAAACAGAACCAAGTGTCTGCAATCTCGCAGACCAATCCTGCACCACAGCCGGCCAGATTGTCCAACCAAACACAAACCCCAATAAAAAAAGTCACAGTCACAGCCACAACCACAACCACCCCCACCTGCGCAGAATCCAAGCAACACCTATTCTCAACCACCACCACCTCCCTTCCAAATAGGAGGAAGCTCATGGGCAATGATGTCGGGTAAATAACACTCCTAAAATCAAGCACTTATGTATTCAAGAATCATAAAAAATTGATTTTTAAAATAGTCGAGTCAGCCACAACTGCGCCAATTTCTCAGCAAAATTTTCCCTATCAACCACAAGGAACTTACAACAACCCTCAATTTAATATGTATTCCTATCAGCATCAGCCCCAAATAACGGGGACGACGTACACAGCTGCGCCCATTTACGGATATGGAGGCATGCCCTCGCCAATCATGATGGAATATGGAGGAATGAATTTGTGTCCCATCTGCAGGGTATCATGATTCTCGCATAATTGCTAAACAGCTGACTTACGTTAATTATTTGACCCCTATAGCGAGGAATTCTAATCGAAGAATATGACACGCTAGGAATCATACTCGCCATTATTTTATTTCCGTGTGGACTTATTTGCTGCTTTCTCATGAGACAGATGAGGTGCCAATTTTGTGGGGCTATGTTTGATGCATGAAATGATGTTCAGAATTAATATTAAGTAAGTATTTTCTGTTTATCATATGGATAAGAAATTACGAAAATTGAGAAAATTGAATTTTTTTGTAAAGAATTGTGCACAAAGAGTTGCGAGAAATTGGAATAATGAAACAAGTAAGATGCGAAAGTATTGTTTTTTTATTCAATCACTGACGCTTATACATATAATTAGTTTATGATTAAAATACAGTAATTAGTCAAATATTGAATACTATTAATTATATGCCAATATTAGGAGTACTGCCATTTACAGATAATAAAATTACTTTGCAGATCTTCTCCCACTTTCTCAGTCACTCTTATTTCCTTCTAATTGGACTAGACCACCACCATACCCTCGGTTTTTGCATAACTACTTATCGTAAATTAGTTCTTATCTCTCTTGCCTTACTACACTTGGAATTGATTTGATGATGATGATAATTATTAATTGTCACCATTTTTAGAGCTATTTACCGGGAATTACGTACACATTCTGCTGCTGCTGCATAGCTAAGTATTTATTATTTGTTGCTTTCTTTTGTTTTCTTTTGGCATATTTTATGTAAGTATCTTAAAATTACGTGAAATGGTTTTTTATACTTGTTTTTTGTTAAGCTAATGGACAGAATTATTAGCATATAGTGGTAATTTGCGTCACTTTTTCTTCTTCTGTATACATATTTAACAGCGAGCGAACTACATCCAAAAGCGTAAAGACTGTTTCTTCAAGAATATTTTAATCAAGAATTACAAATCACGACGATGATGAAGATATTATTTAAATGTACCGGAAGCTACATACGTACTTATCTAAGTTATGATAAGCATCACTGTCTAACTAATCCTTATGTATGGTTTGATCAAGTATAACGAATATGGTTATGAGGCACGAGTACAATACTTATCAGTAGTAATTATTAGTATAATCTACCACCACTTATTTAGTCAATGTATTTATAGTTAGTGTTTATTTAGTACAGAAGAAACCAGATAAAGAAGTGTCATCATAATTTATCCAGTTTTGCTTTGCATAATTTTATATTTGTTCTTGTTCCTGCTGCTACAAATACAGTATAAGTACGTGATGATAGGCTTTTCTGGTCCGAATCGCAGTTATTTTAGCGTTCGAATTGAAGATTTGTTGGGATTTATTATTTCTTCCCGTTTTCATATATCAATCACTGCACGGATGGTGCATGGCAGTTTTTGTCAATATTTTGATTTATCAAATGATTGCACATTTTGTATGTTTAGTTTTAGTCCGTAATGTCTAATTGGTTAATAAAAAGAGGTTTTTAGTTATTGGCAGTTTTAGTTCATGAACTTTTTTTACGAACGTGACAATAATGGCGATAATGATGATCCACACTTGAAAAAGATTTGTGAAATGAAAAAACAAAATAAAAAAACAAGCAAAACGATTAATTAATTCAACGCAAAATAAAAATTTAATAAAGTACAAAAAATGCTCTCATGTCAGTGCAAGCCAAAATATCAATTTAAAAAAATCATCCATTCGTACATACTCTTATCATTGTAAATGTCACCTTATCATAAAAACTAAAGAACATCATCCTTCAAATATTGCATCCAAGCTAAATACGTATAGTAAATACATGATACACATTTTTACGTAGATAATTAACGGCTAACAATGCGTTCAAAATTTGTAACGGGAATTATTATTGTTACGTAAATCTGCATAGGCTGGAAGATTGGATAGGAATGAGCAGCAAAATAAAGACTATTTCCTGTGTCTTTGTTTCTATTATTTAGAACATCTGTTCGGCAATCGGTACTCCATAAATTATTAATTGACAATATCAACGTGTTTATCTGTAGGAATATCATATCCAAGTCTTCTTGTTCTGACCACACTCGCGTAAAATAACAACTTTCACTCCAACACTGCACAAAAACTACTTATTAAAATACTAGAATTATTTTTTAAAGATTATTCACTGAGACTCTATCGGAATGCCTGAGATTTTACATAGTTTAATTATTATTGTAAAGTATGTATTGGTACAATAAAAATTAATCAGAGTAGTAAAACTTGTACATACACAACTTACAAAGCTAAAAAAAACAAAGAGAAAGTCGGAGTCAGAGAGCAATATAAACAGCTAAAATAACTTATTTAGAGAGAAACTACACACGAATACAAAATATTGACTCGAAAAATATTATTAAATGGGATGGTCTTCTTCTTAGGAAACTCAGTCTACTTCTAATTCCGTCGTGGGGAAGAAGTGTTATAAAATGCAGATAAAACAACCTGTGAGATTAAAGGGGGCGAGAAAACATGAGAGAAAACATGACTATTATGCTGCTAATAATTAAAAGTGGGTGATAAAAAGGGATGGAGGGGGCATCACTTCTGGAAGCAATGTAACCCACGGTCACATCGTCAGGTTGCATCAGCACGGTGTCGATGATGTGAATGATGCCGTTCGTGCAGTTTATGTTGGGACGCACCACGTTGGATTTTTCGTTCATCCACAGGACCGAGTAAGGGTATGGATTCGAAATTTCGGGACGATAGTAGTCTCCCCGGCCTGGATGATAGTGAAGTGAAAGACATTAATAAATTGTTTGGGGATGTCTTAGGGGATTTTTGTATGTATGACTTACGGTGGTTTGGGTCGTTGGCGAATTTCCTGGCCACATCGTCTTTGCTTTCAATTCGAAGAATACCATGAACAGCTTGGATCGGGAAGGCTTGATCGCTAGCATTTGTTGATAATTCGTGCAATTGTTCAATTGTGAATGCCCTTCCAACAATCATGTGGCTGAAAACGGGTACAAAAAGGTCACATTTTCATCGCAGAAGATTTTTAACCAAACTTTTAACACTAACCGTTCAATAATCTTTGCAACATGGTAGCCAAACTCTCCCATTTGTAGCTTCTTATATTCAGATGGTGCAATCCGATATATTTTCTCCCATGCCAAGTTGCTCGGAGCAAATAGGGTGAATTTCAATTTGGAATCATTGAATCGCCGATTGAAATAGTCTTGTGAAGTCAACTCGAACGTTTTCCTAATTAGAATTATTCACATGTAATTGCTGCATATTTAAGTGGAAATCGTGTCGTATTTCTGTAAGGATTTGATTTACTTACTGGAGCATGGGGTCGGTCTGCAGCTTTGAGTACACGTTTTGGTCAGCATAGCTCAAGATGCGGTCAATCATGTGAATAACACCGTTTGTTGCTCCAATATCCGGTTGAGTAATAGTAGCATTCACGCCACCTCCCTCCACATACAAGACTCGTCGGCCGTCGATGGTCTGGTAGTTGAAAAACAATTGCTTTTGTGGGGATAAAGTCTCCACTTGGAATGGTGCCCTCTGATAAAATACACGGAAAAATTAGCCTCTCAGTACTTACAATAAAATCCTTTACTTTCTGATATATTACATACCTCGCTAGCTTCCGTAATGTTATCGGATCGTACAGTATTCAAAACGATGTGCAACCTAATGATGTCATTCAACTCTTTGACCTTTCCTTTTAATTCTCCAAGGGTTGGGCTCAGCAAGGCCTAAATAAAACCAGAAAGTATGTGTGACTCTAAACTTTTCTTGTCAAAATGGGTATAAAAAATGTATAAGCTTTATTCATAAATTATTACCGCATTGCTCGGGACGAAGATTGTGATTCCCTTGTTGCCTTGTGGTCTCTGAATTATGTTTTTCAAATCTTCTGAACCGTACTCCGAGATCAACTTGAAGAATTCGTACCTTAGCATGGGGAAAAATAGTTTACATGATTATCATTTTAACTTTTAGCAACACTAAATAAGGCATATTTATTAAACAACAATTTTACTTACGTGGGCCCATTTTCCTTTTCGTTCTGTGGAATTTAAATTAGAATTATGAATACACATTTAATTAAATATTCCTCAGGTTTGAATGATGATTACTTAGCTATGTGCATTTGCATTAATTATATGAATGATGGATGAAGGGTAACCAAGAATGAGAATGAAATGGAATATGCAAAACTGGCAGCTCTGCAAATCGAATTACAAGCTCTCAACTCTAAATTCATTAAAAACCTCATGCTATCAATTTCCCTAATAATGCCGGAACCGTGTAATATATAGGACTGTCTAAAGGTCTAAATTTTTGGTAACAAATAGAAAATACGCAGTGTCTCCAATATCTAAAAAAACGGTTCCACTCTTGGAGACTCATACACATTATTTCACTCATATTTCAGGAAATGATCAATCTTAAAATGAGACACGGAGTATTTTTAATAGGAATGTAACACTAGAGTGCTAATCAATTGTTGAGAGTGACTTACAGAGCCAGTACCGACCACATTTTCTCCCTATTGTGTCCGCAATTAAGCCAAATGAAGACCAAATGAAGGAACCATTAAAATGCTTCACAAAATGACTGACAAAAGGTAAAGAAACATTACTTACCGCCAAGGTTTGATACACGGTGGAATCGATAACGACCAATGGTTTATTGATGAGGTGAACAACACCATTTTTGACGGGAATGTTCCCTTTTACCACTTCGGTTTGGACGACACCTCGAAGATGAAACTGGTCAGTGGCGGATCGCGTGTCCGATCGTACAATGTCTAAATATGGTGAAATAATTTCAAAATTAGAACAAAATCGTTAAAATTATGCTCGTTTTCGAATGTGGACACTTACACTTATCCTCCTGATCTTCCTTTTCGACTTCCACCAAAACGGGGAAAAATGGGGCCATGGCTGCCGTGTCGTATAATCGCTTGGGAGGTTGCAGCTCTGAAGGACGTAGAAATATTACATGATTGGGAATTACGTGACTATCGATGACCTTGATGTCCACCGTGTTGATCTGAATTCGCTGCAATAAAGGAAAGAAAAAATTGAAAATAATTAAATTTCTGTCAAAAAATAATTCTATTTCTCTTTTCACTCTCGTCTTACATTGAATGCTTCGTCGACAGGAATGAAAAACGTGTGGCGTCCAATACCCTTAAACATGTCCAATTTGTGCAGCATGGCTGCCCGTCTTGCAAACTCACTGAAAAATAAGAGTTCATCTCCTGTCACTCATTCGAAACGTCAAAATGAGCATTTTTGTCATTGAGCTTACGTGATGCGATGATTCCCAGTGATATTGTAAGAAGATGAATACTCTAAAAACTTTCTTGCATCCGGATTGAGTAAATTATTGTCGCTTGAGTCAGGAACGGTTGGATCGAGGACCTATAAATATAGTCAGAAGAATAGATAGCATTTTAGAACAAGGAGTATAACAAACAGTAAAATTTAGGCAAAACCACTAACCCGGTCGATTACGTGAAGCACTTGATCCATTCCCAAGGCATTCTTAATCTGAAAGTTCCTTCGCCGAGAATCGATCTGGGCATCATTCAAGTATATGTCGGAGTCAGATCGTGGATTTCGTGTGATCCAAATTGGAGGGTTTCCAGGAAGTTCGGTGGATAAAATATCCTCCAAGTCGGATGTCCTCTTGGCCACGTTGGCTACATGCAAAAATACGTCATAATCAAAATTTATTGCGAATCTTCACTTAATTTTGGTTGATTTTTGTAGTTACCGAAATGATAGAGCAGAGTATGGTTGTCGATCCGTCCTCCGAGGTGTCGGTGCTTCCTGATGGCGTCATTGGTGGGGGCGAAAAGCGTTCCTTGTCGCCACGGGAGGGACGCGTTTAGAAATGGACTTCCTCGTACCAAGCTCAAGAACTGTAACAGACAAAACACTGTCATTAACTTGGCGTCCTTCCATGCATAAAATTTACCACTTTTAAAACGGAACACGTCATTTTAAAATGTCAAAACTAATAAGTTACATTTTTTTTCTGTACGGATACACTTTTTGTTTTAGGCTTGTTATGACAGGGTCATTCAGGGCGTTCCAAAACTAAATTTGCAAACATTACTAAACTAACGGTCAACCCTAACACAACTTGAAAAATCATGCAATGTCAGTTGTCAAAGTGAACACACCCTTTCCTTGTCCATTTATCGAGTCACTCTTTCCTTTCCCCATAACTTTTTTCGCTGCATGCATGCCCAATGTGATGCCTTTTATGTTGACCCATAAACGAACATAAGTTTAACAATTGCACACCTGTGCTTGTACAAAATTTAGTCTCTAAAAATAAAACCGGACTTTTATGCTATCCGAAAAAGGAGATGATTTCCAACCACCGAGTAAAATACTGTCGCAAAAATTGTGTATCGTAATAAAACATGACACCAACCAACCACCATCCACCAGGTTAAGCATCATATTCCACCAAAAAACTCATTTCCGATTACGGTTCCTTTAAACCGCAAGTTGCATGGTGCACGAAAATTAGTTGACAATGCGTGTTCATAATATTTTGTGGCAGGTGGTACGGTCGGTAGCTACCCAGACATACATAAAAGCTCACAATGAGATTGCGAATAAAATAACAATTTGGAAAGTAGAAATCAATTTACTTCCCAGACACATAACTCGTCGTTCGTAACCCTCGAAAAGTGAAACCCCAGAGAATTGATTTCACATATACCTAGAAATGTACATAAATATGTACATTCACAAAGTTTTGAGAAAATGCGTAATAATTTTCCAAAATAAGCTTTCCTTCCTCCATGCGTAGTCGTGGTCTTATGAGTGCGTGGAGCGTGTCGTGGCGTGAATAAGGGATGGACACCTCCGTGAGCCATTTCCTCACAATTATTGCACAAAAGCTTCATCAAAGTGCACCGTCACTCCAAACCATTAAATCATTTGTTTGTACCCGAATAATAATAAAACAAGGAGGATGTTATCCAAGGGGGCACTGTCATTCATTCATTTACGCAGGTAACAGGACGACGGACGGGGTTGGCAAGTCATAAATCTTTCGTGTGACATGACTCATGCACACCGACCGATTATCCTGCGACGCAACATACGCAACCCCATCAGAAACGGACCAATTATCAATTTCCATCCATTTCCAAGTTGCCATTCCATAAATAAATAAAGTATTGTTAACAAGGGCTTGACACTTGGACCCTTCAAAAACAATGGAGCCAATGGTGTGTGGTGACAAGGCAACAAAATCTCATGCATTATTAACGCAACAATGGAAAAGTCTGGCAATGGGATGTATGTATCGATCGGTGGGCTATTCAGTTAGGAAAAAGGAGGAGAATGACCAGTGAAAATATTTGGGCTTGCTGTGCTTGGTCACTAACAAAACGTGTATGTGTATAGTAACAGTGGTAAGGAAATGTCACAATGAAACTGCATCTGCTACTTGTAACACAGAACTGTGAGGCAACCAGTGTTAATTTGAAACAAAATAATGAACAAACAAAGAAATTAAATGATACACTTTCTAAATATTTTTTAAAGATTCTCACTTATTTGCTTTATAATGTGGGATGTAATTATTTATTATTAGGTAATTCTCGTCCCAGGAGAGAACACGATTTTTTTCAGATATATCAAAATCTCTCTTTCTCTCTATAAATATATCGTATCGTAAAGAAGAAATAACGTAAATATTTATAATGCAGAATTCGTGCCTCGTTTACCTCGTGAGACAATATACGGCGTAAATAAAACGACCTCTGATCTGTGTCCGTGAGTCGAGCGATCTCATTCTCATTACATCCCTATTCTTCTTCATGGCACAATTAACGTGTGTCTACATTTGAGAAAATTTTCTGCTCTCCGCTGTGATTTCTTAGCTATTGAGCCATTAAGAAATTATCTAAAATACTTTAGCAAAGCTTTATTATAGCACTGACGATATTGGGATTGATTTCATTTCATTCACGATGATGGCAGAGCAGATCTGATCTTTGGTCACGATGAGAAAATGAGAAACGATTCTCACGTCACATCACATCGTCGGGATGTACACGTATATTTATAAATTGTTGGTCAAGAATCAAAACCAGGACTAATTTTCTTGGGACATTATACACTATGCATTATTTGTGGACAAAAGTGTTTAAATATAAAGAGTTACATACGTGGGAAGAACTTTATAACAAACCTTTAACCTCCATCGGACAATAAAATGGTGGATTTTGATAGATTTTTTATGTCTCCAATTTCTCAATAATAAAATGACATCCCACGTTTCAAAATTAATAACACGGATCGATATTCTCAATTTCTCAACGATATGTATTTACATCATAATATTTAATTCTGCATATTATTACCACATTTTCATAATGTCACATTTTATATTTAGCTTGGACATGGACAACCTTACATATTTCGTCTGTCTTATATATAATAATGCTCTCAATTTTAATGATTGATTCCCCCCATCATTTTATCCAATCCACCCTTCCACCACCGCACCGTGGGAATAGGGCAGCGTACGTACGTAGTATGATCCAATTTATCGATCATCATTACTACACAATTTCCTTCTTACGCAATCCATTCATCTCCTACAACCAAATCGTAGCTGTCTTACTGTTTCGAGCGAGTCTAACGATGAGATTATTATTAGTTGGATGGGCCGACTGGTAGTATAATTTGGGGGTTTTTGGTTGGTAAAATAGGAAAGATTTCATCCTATCCAGTTCACTCACTAATGATGCCAGCATTGTGTGTGCTGTGCAACCCTATGTATGTCCACCATCAAAGGCTTTCCTCTAGCCAAGCCACCAAGTGATTGAAGTGCTGAAGTGCCAAAAGCAAACTACTTCAAAGTTCAAAGAGCCCTTACACCCTCGTCTCCCATCTAATCACCATCGTTTGTGTGTCACGAGTCACTCGAAGCAAGCACAATCAGAAAAATTCAAGAGAACAATTAACAAATAGTGTTGGTTGGTAATCTTAATTAATAATTTGTTTAGGCAGCGACACGTGTTTTATAATTAGACTTTGGATAAGCCTAATAGGATTTGTGGTGTGGTGGTGGTGTGGTAAAATAGATAAGAGATAAAAATGGGGTGAACTGAATACAAATGGATAAGTGCTGCTAATGACGGGGTTGAGCAGCCATTGAATTGATGTTACCCCGATATGATGTTGTTACTTATGTGGATATTGCATGACATTTAGCAGTCTTCATTTTTGGTCAGAAAATTTAACTAATTTTAACGTTTCACAAGAATAATTATGGGGTTTGGTTGGATTCTGCAATAATTTTGGGACACCACCTGGCCATTACATTATCTCATTTCGTTATGACAGATGAATTATGATGTGTCTAGCTGGAAACTGTAACAGCAAGCAAACCTTTTTTGCCCTCCTCTTACCTCTGAATTTTGAAGTTTGCCATATCCGCCGTGTCATGAGTCGTTAACCAAACCAAAACCAGAGCCTTGATGACAATTGTAAATTCATTCTCACCCAAAAAATCTGTAAAAAATTCATGCTGCGGTGTCCTAAGGGGAGATTCTGTTTCAGCGATTTCCTGAACAAGATGTATCGGTGTGTGCTCAACCATTCTAGTCTGAGCTCAGACCATAAATCAAGAAGGACGAAGCCTGATAAACATCCCTCATTAATTCCACCACCACCACTACTCCGACAGGACTTGCTTTCTCCGACGACCCCACCACCACGGACTGTCTTTCTTCATTATTCCATCAATATTACACCAAGTCATGTGCATTATAGACTTATTTCTCCCCTCTTTTGCATGATGATCGAGCGAAGGTGAAACTTTCCAACAAATCCCAACAATTACTTCCTATTCCTCCGAAAGAGGAAGAAGATCAAGTTGAAACAGTTTACCCTTTCCAAGAAAAAGTAGTCTGAACTATTTTCTGAAAATGGTATGTGTACTCTACTTGCATGCTAAACACTGGGGAAATATTAAGAAATTAATTGCTCCGTTTGTTGCACATGTATAATAAATAACGACTCCACGCCGTTCCTTATTCTCTGTCTGGCCATGCATTTAAGTCAACTTTTGTGCACTTTAGTTTATGAAGTGATGCAACGAAATGTAATGAAATGTGGTTGTGCACAGTATGCTATGGAGAAATGGGTGCAATTTAACGTGATATGCTTTTGTGTCGTGATGGGAGAAGAAGCCATAAAATAAAGAGCATAAATGACTCCTCCACTTCTGCAGTGTTGGTTGGGGGAGGGGGATTAAAGTCTCGAGGTTCAACTTTCTCACTTATGTATGTACCCTGCCTAATACTGCTTACACACACTTCTCCCTCCGTCGTCGTCTTCTCATAAACTTTGGACTTTTAATCCTGCAAGAGACCATAAAACGGAGACCCTCCTCGCACAAATTCTTCTCCTGAATGAATGCATGTCCAGTGCAGCAGGAGGAGACATGATGCGTTGAGACAAAGAAGAAGGGAAATCCATCAACTTTCTTTCCCTGCCGGTTTGCGTGTAGTAAATTGTAGTAGAATTTTACTACTATGTAGTACGTACTGGGTAATAAGTATGTAACTCATGAGCGAGCAGAGGTGGGTGACGTACATATTCTCGCATTCTACATACTTATTATAAGATTTGGATATTATCTTAAGAACTAGAAAATTGTTAAGTAATTTTGTTCCTCAAAAGAAACCTTATGGTGTATTTTATTTCAGCCATAACTGTCCACAAGTAAGTTCGAGCAACTTTACTTATTTTCCTGATTCGTCACTTGGGAAAAATGCATTGGATGCCTCAATATTTTTCAAAAATATCAATGTATTTTTGTTAAGAAAATGGTGAGGAAAAGCCGTTGTCGACAGTTTTGGTGGAAGTTGGGTCGGAAATGAGCCATGGCGAAAGAGAAAGTCCCCTCTCCTCCCCGTCCGCTCTTTTACGACGCGACGGTCGCATTCAACATTAACAATTTACTCTGAGGCATGAATGAATAACGCGACGGGAGGAGGACGAGGGTAGATAACAGCAATCTCTTGTTTTATCAATATACGTACAACATATATTTACACCACCCAGCCAAATAATATATTCATCGCCGACCGGATGCAGCAACTGACGGATGAACCAGAGAGTGTTACAGAGAGCTGGAGAAATGGAAAGTGATTCGTTTTTATATGTACACGTACGTACTGCTCCCGTTACGAAATCGAAGCACTTTGTACATAAAAACAGGTACATATGTAACCTCGTGGCATTGCGACTTTCACCTTTTCGCAGGAATTTTACCTGTTAGCTTCCACTTCCTTTCGTACAATTTTCCATGAAAAGAACTTTCCTTCCTCGTCGTAAAAACGGTGTAAAACGATAGAATCCAATCCCATTCAGACAACAAAAGCTACATACGAAAACGGCGGAAGCGACGCCGGACCAAAATAAATATAGTTTGAAAAGCAGCACCCGCTCCGCTTCTGGTTCACACAATAAAACGGGTCGGAAGTAGAACCCGGGTGAAGAGGAGAACTAGACCCAAACCGCACATTTATTTTATCCACGAATGATGATAACTGCACCACGACCACCGAAGGATGAAGTAGTTCAGGGTCAAACCTTCAAAACTTTTCTTGGCTGAAACAAAGTTGCCAGAAGAACTGACCCAGGCGTGGTCTGAACATACATGTGGTCTATACTTGCCCCACTTAACATTCCACGCGCATAATTCAGATGGACGTAATTCAGACTGAGAGGTATTTGCAATCGTAAAATCGCATAACCAGATTCCCGTTCAAACTGACGTTTAAAGTTTTAGTGTATTAAAAAAACGGTCACATTAATCCGTCATGAGTCCGCGGCGTCGAAATGGAAAAGAGAAGGACAACAATCAACTTGATGGCCAAGGTGTGAATAGTTATTAAGCTATAACGAACACTTTTATACAAATAAGTATTTCTTTAATTTCAGAAAACAAACCACCAAGGGAAAAGATTCCGATCCGTGTAGAGAAAATCATAATCGGAAGGGGGGGTGTGAAAAGATTATTGAAAGTCGAGTATAAACGGGTAAGATATCTAATATGATTAAGTTTGAATGAATGTTGTAATTTATATGATTGTGTCATGTTAATTTTCAGAATTCTAAACCCTCTCGACACGTCACGATCATTGATGTCCAAGAAAATGATTACATATATTGCATCGACAAGGATACAGTTTCGGGAAATAATGAGGCTAGACGAATGACACGAGAAGAACTTGCAACAAAAGACTGTAAGATAGTTACTTTTACAAATACATAATTATGTCTTACTCATATTTATAAAGTGTTGTTTGTACATGTTAGGTAACTCATTCCAACTGTTCTACATATTTATAATTTTTTGGAGAGACGTGAAGGGAAGGATCCGTGATTATGTGTTCGGGATTACACGAGTTGCTGATCTCGACCTAGCAAGTCAAAATGCGATCGTCAAGATGCATGAAAAACTTAATGGATGTTCAATTGTGTGAGTTATTTTTGTCAATCTATATCCACTTAAAAAATATCCCTTTTGCACGCTATATTTAATGTGTATATTTATCAACAGGGACGACACAGATCCGACCTATACTATCGTTAAGGAGGACGTCTACAAGCTCCCAATTTTTGCATGCTCTAAGTTCGAGATACAACAACTTAAACAGTGTAGACGCCGTGAAGACGGTTTAGCAGGTAGTTTCATGCCTGCCGATTCAATCACCCTGTTGGAAAACATTTCTGCCGATCTTAAAGCAATCATTGAGTAAGTCAAGAAAGTAAATAAACTTTTATGGTGATATACCATGTGAATTGTGAGCGTATAACAAGTATGTTTATGTTTTAGTCCAGTGCTGGAAAGGCATATTATCAAAGTGGATGAAGAACCGGTCAAATTTGAGGATCTTGAAGTCACGATCACTTCTAAGGATGTGCCTCCACCCACTCCAAAGAAACATCAATGCAATGAGCCGGATTGCAATTTCAGTGCAGCTAAATCCTACGATCTTAAAGTGTAATGAATCATTACTAATAATGTGTGTTACGACTTAATATTTTGTTACACTCAAATTGTATTATTTTTAGACATGTTGAAGCCATTCACCTGAAACTACAAAAATACAAATGCCAGTATTGTGATGCCAGGTTCACAAGAGATTCAAGTAGAAAATATCATGAAACTAGCCAACACACTGATCGAAAACAGCCGGTCATTCCCTTCGCCGACATTTCAAAAGCTAGGTATGGGTGCTTTGTTTATTTTAAACTTACTATGTCCGATAATTTGGTAGTATATAGTAATATATATTTCCAGATCAGCCAATGTTCAACCACCTACTCCAACACGAACATCATCAACAGTCACTCGGCCAATAACCCTTTTTCCAGGGTTTTCTGTTAAACGATCTCCTCATGTGCCCACCCCTGAGTCCTCTCAAACACCCCTGCAAACGGAGAAGGTTGAGGTCACCGAATCATCATTTGAAGATATTAAGCACAGTTTGGAAATTGCTCATTCCCAGGTGAACGATTATTTTTTACACGATAAATATTGATGTTTGAATTTTTAATTTTAATTTCACCCACTTATTAAATCAGATCGAGACCCTCGAGGGACAACTTTCAACAGAAAAGGCAAGTTCGACGGCGAAAGAGTCGATCTGAAATAAGAAAGATGACGCTTGGAGAAAGAGGGTGAGGTATTTGGAGAGTAGGGTCGACGTTTTGGAGAATAAAGTCGACGTTTTGGAGAATAAAGTCGACGTTTTGGAGAATAAAGTCGACGTTTTGGAGAAAGCGGATGTCAAGAGACAAAAAAAGCAATGATCCCCCTGGATTCTAAAAATCACACGAAGAGAAACTTGGTCCTTGTCTCCCACAACTAATTTTTTGGCTGATATGTAATAGTATTATCGATCTATTAGTATGAATAAATCATATCACCAGATCAACAAATCCAACATCAATCAACCGGATCCGATCGGAAGAACTGATCCAGGTTCCGCAGTGCTTTAGGCATAAAATATAGATACGTACGTGTGGTCAGAAGAGTATGAAAAAGTGGTGTGTGAAGTAGTAACTTAAACTGAAAGGTCTTAAGAGGGAAACAAATCTTAGGAGAACTTTCTCCTCGAGAGTCGAGAGGAAGTCAAAATGGCAAAAAGTGTCCAAACCCGATCAAAGTTGTATGACCCAAGGAGAACATTACTAGAGATACCAATTACGTAATCTAGGAGATAAATGTGCACATTTCTTGCAACATGGGCAACGAAATCCTAAAGTGTAATCGATATTCTGTCTCCGTCACATTCCCCCCTTTGCAGCAGTTCGAGAAATTAACTTGCTGGAAAAGAAACTTACTTTCCTGTTGAATAGAAACGGTCATTTATATTCTCAGCCAGTGGTCAAATCTGTAGAAACGGCTCAATGATGAAGTTTGCCACTCTCCTTTTCTCTCTCGAGACTGGTCATTTCCTCGTCTGCCCAGCAGGTCATTAATATTAGCGATCCAGTCACCGACCAAGTTTGCCTTTGTTTTGGGGAGGGTGCAACAAATAAATTGGAATCCAAGCTTTTCTCCCCCTTAATCCATCTCGCAACTAATGAGAGTAGAATCAATTCCTGATTGCATCTAATCTAATTAGCGAATCGGATTCAATTCTAGTTGATGATTTAGTAGACTTTGACTTTAGTAAATGCATTATCATATTTATTTTTCTTGCTGCGAGAGGTTTCACGCTTTGGCCAGTGGTTCCTCCTCGTAATTAAAATGCGCAGCGTTACTTTCATTAAGCAATGTTCATCCTTTGTTTCATTTCATTATTCTAATGGAATGACCAGCAGCAGCTAAAAAGACGGATAGATTGTATGAATTTATAAATGTGAACCTGGTGACAGATGCAGAACACGAATGGCTGATTTTTTTGTACATCCAACGCGTGAATTGATACGCTTACACCAATCAGATCACCCTTTCATCTCTCTCTAGCTCTGTACATACATATGTAGACGTACATTCTGTTAAATTAACCGAGACAGAGGAACGAGAGTGAATTAAATGCAACCGTGTCAAATGGAATCATATTTGCCTTTTAAATGGGGACAATAATGCAATAAATTTCTCCCGGCTGCATAAGCCCAGCTCTCACTCGTTCACTTACTAAATGGCTGCTTTTGTTACATATTCAAACAATGGCCGGTGGTGGTGGTTATGCGATCCGGATTCAAAACCCTTGTCATGTTATGAAATAGAATAAGTAAATATAATCCATCCAAGTACATAAATGAGAATAGAGAGAGAAACTGCTATGTATTGAAAAAGTGTCACCACTACCATTTAAAAATGCAGACTATTAATCCCTCTCAGTTTAGCGAGCAATTCTGTCCACGTATATTTTTCATGTTCACAAATTAAAAGATTTAATATTTAAAATGATTCATACTTATTTATCGGACCTTTCTTTCTTTCATCCGTTGGAAGAAATGATTAAATTAAATTATGTACTCTGCAGACAAAGACTTGTCGAAACTAACGCTTTCCTCACAGGAAGGAAGAATTTTTGCACAAATATTTGATCAGGGTAAAAATAGCAAGTATAAATATTAGCCAAGGGTCAGACCGAGAGAGAGATGCGACTATTTGTACATAAATTCGAGATACAAAGTCCAGTCCACCGTACATATTCCTTCATAAAAAAGCTATCACTTGATTGTGTCGAATTCAAATGACGAGCAGTCTGCCCCGGAGCAAATATGTGGATGTATAACATCCCAATTTATTCATCCTTTTCCTTTCCTGAACACTAAACCCAATAAGTGGATGCATGTCTGGCTGGCGTAATGTGTAAGTGAATATGGAGCAAAAAGGGCAGTTCCAGCCAATTTATAATTCCCATCCTTCCATGGACGGAGACAAACAGAGTACACACACAATGAAAAAAGACCCTTCTTCCCTCCGTAGATTGCTTGCTTTACGGTTTGTTGCCCGTTGTCCGGACCTTCCCAAAAATAAAATAGTTGGGTAAAAAAACTCGTCGAGAGAAGAGACAACTCATATTTTATTTCATTCTCTTATTGGAGTTGAGCAAGGGCTGGGTTTGTTATGTTGTGTTTATTTTTGATTGTTGTTGAGCATGATCGATGTCCTTTAATGGGATGAATCATTCACATAATGATGGAGATCACATTTCTGAGTTATTATTACCGGCAGGCAGCTGAGATGAGATGAGATTTGATACAAAAATGCTATCTTCTCAGCGATAAAAACGCATCCACACAATGGCGACGGGTAGGAAGAAAGGAGGAAGTAATGAAATCCGCACGTATCGATTTAAGGGGGCTTTAGATCGGTAACTTTATATTACGAAGTGTGTATGGTGCGTGGTGTGACATTATTCATTTTATTTACAAAGAGATCCAAGTTAATATTAGAATATAAAACGCTTTAAATAAGCCGATTAAATTCCAAAGTAATAAAACTTTTTGTTGTTAAATCTCGTAAAGTCATAAATATTTTAGTGTATTTGTTTCACACACACGTGAATATTTCGATCAGTATTTTTCATTCGGGTTCGTTGTATGTACAAGAATTTCACCTTTTGCCAACATACATGCACGCTAATTAATTCATAACTTGGTCCCACGTCAATCAACCTCAACCCTTTATCAAACTCTCCAACATTTCATGAATTTTATGGTTGGACCCAATACGAACATTTCTATTTTCTATGCAACAACTCATCAAATCATTGAATCTGTCATCGTTTCTTGCTTCCTTCGAGTTGAAAATAATGTACGTGAACATTTTGAATTCATATCCAGACAATGCGGTTTGTTGCAGTGCAGATCTGCCGTTTTTCAGTTGAAGTGGACTTTTATCTTGAATTCATGAGTTCGTATTATTATTGTTCACTCATTTTCTTTAGTAAGAATGGGCAGAGAGAGCTCTCAAGTCAACCTCAAAGAAGTACAGACTATGCTTTTCAATAGAAAATGCTGAGCCCTTTAGAGTTTAAACTCGTCAAAAAAAAACATTATTTCATATGAAACGCATCTGTCCTGCCGACTCAGCATTTTCTAAAGTCTGCCCTCTCTCTAAGTAATTGATGAATGAAACATTTGTTTGTACATCATTATGAAATTGCTGCTAACATGACGTCTCCGTCGCCTGCTCAAGCTTTTGCTGGGTGATCCCTATCTCGTGCATATAAATGCGAGCAGGATTCTCCATGAATATTTTTCAATTTAAAATCAATTTGGTTTAAAATGTAAATAGGAGTAAGCTAAGTGAGACCCCTGTTGATTCCTTAAAAGCATTATGTCATGTTGGCTAAGTGGATATTATACTATGTATTCTAGGGTGGTGGTGGTAAGAATATAGGTTTGTTGCGTGGTGAGAATACGTATTTATTATTGAATTCTGGGTGACAAGACATGAGCCACCTTTCATCATCGGTCTATTCTTTCTTTTTTTAATGATGTGAATTTCTTTCTGCAAGGGAGAAAATAATGTTATTTGGTAGGAATCTGCTCAATTTTACGTATTTTACGTATGTACACCAGTAATTGCTAGAAGTCTTTCGCAGAAGAAGGTCTTGCTCCCTAGTCGCTACTTCTTGTCCCCGTAATAATAATAGTTTTAGAGAGTTGTATTGGACCAAATAAAATAGCAGAGATCTAATTTCCTCGAGTTATCTCCGTCCAACTCCAACTAACTGGTAAACTGGTCCCCATTGAGTTGAGAAAAGGAATTAAATGGACCAACTCACTCATACGAACATAAAATAAATCCAGTCCATTCGCCACGTTGTGTCATCCACTATTTAACTCTGGTCCTTCCAAATGTCAACTCAGCAAACTCACACATCTTCAAAGGTTGATTTATTTTATGTGTCCAAAAACTGCTGCTGGCTGCTATGTCGGATTAAGGCAAGAGGAAAATAAAAAGCCGTTAGTAAAAGGCGACATGTCCTTGTTGTGTTGTGGGCAAAAGTGTTGATACGTACGTTGCATAAGGTTATAAAACGTGGTTCAAACCTCGGAACATCACATTTCATAGTAATAATTGTAATCCGTGACCAAAAAAGCCTGCAATTTACTCGATATTCCCACAACCAGTAAAAAAAGGTTATGTAGTGCAGTTAAACTCGACAAAGTTCTGTATATTTTATGACTTAATGAGAACCCACGTAATGTTAATGCTCCCTTATTATTAAGTACTTCACAGAAGGAGAAAAACTGAACAAAATGTGAAAAGTAGGATCGATTTTGTAGTCACAGTTCATTTAAATCCACGGCTACTGGACATTCACTCACATATTCCTAACCGAAATTCTCTCCATTTTTCAATTCCACACACATGAAAAATAATTCTCAATTCAGCAGCATAACAAATCCAGAGATTGTGTCGCATCTCTCAAGCTCTTTATGTCGCAAAGTTTACCTGCTGCCCTTAGAAAAACTAGGACTGAAAATGCGTCTCATTCACAACACGAGCAACCAGGGGTTCATTGTGAATTGTCACTTTAAACCTTAAAGTAAACGTAATTCACGGCTCATTAGATCTCCATTGCTTGGGTGCTTAAGGCGATGGCGATATTAAAGAAGAATCGTCGTCATCATCATCACCGTTTCTTCTTGGAATAAATGGTTAAATTTCTTTACCGACTAAAACTACTTTCTCTCTGTTGAACTCATAAAACTGTTAAAGCCCTGAATTGAATGGTGATCGATGACATTTCAACGAAAGCAGAAGTATATCTACGTAGCTTTATCCTACTAAACGGTTTAAGTACTTTTCTGAATCGAGAGAATGAGACTGACGAAACCTTTTAAAATGTGATGAGTGTAATCTTACTACTCGATTATAGGAGTATCTACGAGCAAAATGTGTGTGTAGGGATATGGCTTCATTTAAGGGTGAGGAATAATAACCTTCTGTAATTCATGGAGT